CTTATAACTTAAATACAGAAACTGCTAGTGAAATAATATGGCTTGCTCCAAAATGTTGGTACTATTTAATTTTTCCTGTCTGGAAAGCAGTGTCTGTCTGTGGCAGGTTTAGTTTTATATCAACCACAGTAAAATGCTAACACCCAAATACACAGCAAATTGTGAGATGGGTTTTGAAGCCCTGACCAAATGGGACAGATGTTGATTTCAACACTGTTCAAAATCACAAGAATCCTTGAGTTATTTTCATATTAACTCCTAATCTGAAAAGCTGCTTTTAACAGGGTATCCTACATGGCCATTGTTGTTTCATAAGCTAAAGTATTACCTCTGCTTTACCTCTTTACCTATGGTTGGATTCTATAAACATGTTTTCCACTTAGAGAAGAGGGGAGGACTTCTTGTGTGGACAATGCCCTCAAAGGGAGGCAACCACTATGAGGAGGGGTAACTGATAATAACAGATCTGGATCAGGCTTATGTACTTAGCAATTTCTTTGCTTCATTCTTCATTGGTAGTCAGGCTTTCCATGTCTCTCAGGTGGGAGCTGGGGGAGTGAAGTCCCTCCCAATGTAAGCAAAGAGCCACATTCAAGGCCATCTGGTGAAGCTGAATAAGCACAAGTCTATGGGGCCTGATGGGATGCATTCCAGGGTTCTGAGGGAACTGGGTGATGTGGTTGGCAAGTCATTTTCCATCATGTTTGAAAATTCACAGTGGTCAGATGAAATCACTGATTGATGACTGGAACAAAGGGAAGCATCACATCTGTTTTTAAGAAGGGTAGAAAGGGGGACCCTGGTTACAGATCAGTGGGCCTCACCTCTGTGGCTGGGAAGATCATGGAGCAGATCCTCATGGAGGCAGTGCTAAGGCACGTGCAAAAACGAGGAGGTGATCTCACAGCCAGCACAGCTTCACTGTGGGCACATTGTGCCTGACCAACGTGGTGGCATTCTCTGGTGGAGTGACTGCAGCACTCAGCAAGGGAAGAAATCCAACTGGTGTCATCTACCCACAGATCTGTAAGGCCTTGGACTTGATCTCATATGACACCCTCTTCTCTAAAGTGGAGTGATAGCGATTTGAGGGGTGGACTGCTGGGTAGAAAAGAAATTGGCTGGCTGGAGGTAGTCAGAGAGTTGTGGCCAGTGACAAGTGGTGTCCCTCAGGGTTCTGTCTTGGAGCTGGCTCTTCATGAGCCAGCAGTGTATGCTCATAGACCAGAAAGCCAAAGCATCCTGGGCTGCATCCAGAGCAGGATGAGGGAGGGGGTTCTCCTTCTTTACTCTGCCTTGGAGTTCTGTGTCCAGCTCTGGAGTTGTCAGCATGAAAAAGTCATGGACCTGTTAGAGTAGGTACAGAGAAGGGCACAGAGATGATCAGAGGTCTGGAGTACCTTTCCTGTGAGAACAGGTAGAGAGCCCAGAAAAGAGAAGGTTTCAGGGACACCTTAGGGGACCTTCTAATACTGAAAGAGGGCTTAGAAAAAAAGAGGGAGAGTGACTTTTTACACAGGCACATATGGATAGGACAAGGGTGAATGATTTCCAGCTAAAAGAAGAGAGATTAAATGTTAGGAAGAAATTCCTTACTCAGGGGATGGTGAGGCACTGGAACAGGTTGCCCAGAAAGTTTGTGGATGCCCTATCCCTGGAAGCATTCAAGGCCAGGCCAGATGGGGCCCTAAGCAACCTGGTCTAGTGAATGGCACCCTGTCCTTAGCATGGGGATTGGGAATTAAACAATCTCCAGGGTCCCTTCCAACCCACACCATTTTATGATTCTATGATTTTTAATAAAATGTTGTGTTTGCACACACATGCACAAAAAAAAAATCCTGTATTTCTTAGGCTGGGGTGATTTTAGGAGTTAACAACAAGCACAACAAGCAGAAAGAAACAGAAGAGTTATGTTGTGATTAAAAAGATTCCTTTCATGGAACTTAAAAAATAATGTATTCTAATGCTGTCCTGCATATAGTTCCAGGGCTGCTAAAAAAAGCTTTGGGAGACGTTTTCTCAGTACTTTCCGGTGTTGGATCAAGTACTTCTTGTTTCCCTCAAGTTTTCTGTTACTGGATTTGCTTGCATGGGGCTTTGATAGAAGAAAACAAGTTAACAAAAGCTCGTGCATTAGCATCTGGAGATGCTGTTTGAAGGTAATGTAAGTCCAGGATACTGCCAGTAAAATGGTCAGGGAGTGTCCTCTGCAGAGGCTGCCAAAGACAAAAAATTTCCTGCTAGGGCTCTGTATTTGGAGGCAGTGTGAGCTGATTAAACTCATTAAAGGGATTGAAGGAGTGAGGGTGGCTCCTAGGGGCTGGGCATTAGTTGGGGTCAGGCTAATGGCTGAAGAATCCTCTCTCCTGAAAAAGAGGTGAAGCCAGAGGCTCTGGGAAGCAGTGTAAGACACACAGTGTCAGCCTAGGTCTCACTTCAACTCACCTTATGTATCTGCAGCATACAAGTAATTTGCCTCAATAATTATTTTGGACAAGTTTTTCACAGACAAGCTGCATCTTGTTAGTGGAGTTTTAACTTCCTACTTTTTTATTTCATTGGTTGCTGTACCAGCAACTTTATATAAGGGTACATTTGTTATTTCCTTGTATGTGTTTAAAAAAAGATGCTGCATGTCTGTGCCAAAGAGAGCACAGGGTGCTGGCAGCATGGTACCTTATGTTTGCATCCTTGTTCCTTTGGTTTTGGCTGGGGAGCATCACTAACTGCACAGTGCCCAGGGTGACATCCTGGGTACCAGCCAGGACACGTGTCCTCACCCTGCTGCTTCGGGCACATGTTGGGGGTAGGTGGCCTCTAGCTGACTGTGCCCTGCCATGCCAGAACCAGGGAAAGTTTGAAATAGCAAAAGGAGCCTTTAGCTTACCCAAAATTGCCAAGTATAGCTGAAGGCAAGAATGACAAGGGAAGAGTAGCGTGTCCTGTAGTGTTGCTACATGTACCATAAAGAATAAAATACAGTGTTTTAAGAGGAATGCATGTCCAAATGGAGAATGACCATCATTGTAGCTTCCTTTAGTTTATGGTTAAAGAAATGCAAACTGCTTTTCCAGTCTTAAGCAAACAGAAGAAGCCCGTTACTAAGCTCTGTGTTGATATAGTTCCCTTCCAGGTCAGTGCATCACCCGAAAAAGAGATTTATTTTTCCCCCTCTGGCTTTTTCTTTTTTTCCCTTTTTATAGACACTGGAATAAAAAAAAGGAGGGAATGCAGAGAGAAAATTAATCTTCAATTCATCAATTCCCAAAAGAAGCATGTGGACCTTTGCATTCTTCAGTCTGCTTATTTTTTTCAAATGAAAAATCATTTAAATAATGATGCTTTTAAAAATAACTCATACATCTTTGAATTTTGTGCAGTCCTTTGTCTGGATTTTATTTTTTTGGCTATTGTTGTCTCTAGAAGATGAGCTTACATTAAAAAGAGTTTAAAAAATACTTGGGTGCTCCTTTATTCCCTATGAGGTCTAAAAATAGAAGCTGACAAAGAATTGCTTATAGACTCACTGCTCTGTTCAGAGGGTTTAGTCTAAAGCTGCATCTTCTGACTTTGCAACAGCTGAGCTGTGCAGAAGCACCAAGGCTGGGCTCACTGAGCATAAGCAGGGAGGAGACCAAAGCTCTTTATCAGCCCTCCTGTTTATCTCCTCCCAGCTCCATCCTTGGGGAGAAGAGCGCCAAGGCACAGCACCAAAACGTGTGTGAGAATGAGAGCGGGGTGTAAGTACTGGGAGCAAAGGGAGAGGGATGGTGGGGAGAGGGTTAAGAGAGGTTTTATTTATTGCTAGTGCTGCTCATGTTGAGGGGGTGGGTAGCATATAGTTGCAGGCTTACATGGCTTTTTAGTTATTTCTATAACTAGAAGACTTGGCTAATTTATTTGGGTTTTTTGATATTGCTGTAGTCTAGCAGCAAAGTCTTGTCACCACAGCTTGCAATTGTGCTGTAAAAGCTTGGTGCAAACTGGGAGAACAAAGGCAAATATGTGTAATCTGCCTTGAATGTGTGTAAGACACATTATAATATACTAGGTGATAACATATAAAGTATAATCTGTGTAATGGATTGCTTGGTTATAATGGTGGCCACCTCTGAAAGGGTGTGAGGCCTTCTGCACTTTAGGGCCTCCAAGTCATTGTGTCTGAGTGCTGGAGAGGTGACAACAGGGAAAATCAGCACAGGACAGCTCAGGGTTGTGTGGAAAAGTCCATTTGCTGGTGTTTGTGAGGGGGATTGGAAGAGAGGTGGTGTTATTAAAGTGGCAGCTCATGGCAGAAGTGAGCTGTGCTTCCTCTGCCCAGTGCTTGCTGATTTCAAGCAGTGTGTCATGCATTGGGATGCTGTCTTGATTTCACACTTGTGGAATTACCGTGTTGCTTCTCTGAGTTTCTGAAGGTGAGAACTAAAAAGTTGATTTTTGTAAGTGATAGCTCTGTGTTGGGCTCTGCTGTCCTTTGGACTGTGTAGCTGTTTGGATGTATCGTGGCACAGCTGGTGCCAGCTCTTCTACCATGCAAGTCAGTCATGTGTCTTGGTCTTAACCTGACCCAAGGAAGGAATGGCCTGAACCCTCCATTGCAGCCCTTCTTGGGGGCAACATAACCTTAGATTAGCTGGAGTAGAATGTAATACTGTGCCTTTGGCTTGGATGGGGGGCATCCTCTGCCTGCTGAGCTACCAGTGCCACATGCCTGCTGGTATAAAGGTGTGCTGGGCTCTAAGACCGTCACAGGAAACCCTGGGACCTAACCTGGGTGGAAAATGGCAAGAAAAACCACAGCAGGGTTTTTTTGCAATGCATACAAGTGCAGTCTACTTTCTGCCATTGTATGCCCTGTAGTTGCAGCCTATTCCTTCCCCACCAGCTCCAAAGGAACCATCCTTTCCTCTGTGTTCAAAGACCCCTGTGTTGGTAAAGGATGGTGCCTTTGGTGTCCCAGAACTGGAAAACTGATCAATTTCTTATTTCCTTTGCAGTGAACCTGGGGGACGAGAGAGTGTGCATTGCCTCCTGCCTTGCCTCTTCTCCCAGCCACCTGTGGTGAGCTCTCACGTGGCAGCGGACGAGGGTGGAGATCAGCCACGTGAAGCTGGGGCCGTGGGGGTGAGCCAAAGGGCTTCTGACCCGTGGGCTGTGGCAACTGGGGGTCCTCACCACCCTGCAGCAGAGACCACTGCCTCCTGCCACGTAGATGCCTTCAGGGGAGTGGACAACTCCAGCTGAACTGATGAATCTTGGCACCTGATACAAGGCTCAGGTAAGGGCACATTGCTTGGAGCTGGGTTATGTTTTCATCCTGTCTTTTCCAATCTTATAAACTAGCTCTGGAGCAAATGAGAATCTCACTGAGGGCTGTCATGTACGGTGGTTACACGTGCTAGTAAATCAGCAGGATCTCATCTACAGTGGTGCTGGATGCTCTGGTTTGTTGGGGTAATTGCTGGTGGCACCAAAGTGAGTTGCAGTGGAGCTTCTCTCTTGGTGTTCCCACTACCTCTGCTGAGGGAGGTGACTCTGGTTTTATCCAGCCCAGCATCCAGTGCAGTTTCAGATACAGTGCAAGTTTACTAGGACAGGAGATCATTTGAACTTTCTGTAGCACATCTGTGATTCATCTAAAGTGATCTATGGGCAGTCATTTTCAAAGACCCCAAGACAGTTAAAACAAACCTTCCTGCAATTCAGCTGGCTTAGTGCTCCTTATGCTCTTAAAACAAACAAACAAAAAAGCTTGCTTGTGTTCTCCTGGGTCGTAGTCAAGGAAATAAATATGCAAACAGGATCTCCTGTATCTTGGTTCATCCTGCTGGATAGTAATTTCATTCCTGAAGCTGTAATTCACTTTGTGAGTGCAGGTCTTGATTTCCTTTCTGCTAGCAGGGATGTAATTGTGTGCCGGAATTGAGCTAAGGTCAGAGATGCACAGTCCAGTGAAGTGTTTTGAAGCTGGTGCTGGCCAGGATGTTTGCAGTCTGGGTTTGTTAATGAGAGAGAATCTGCAAAGGGGGATCAGCAGAAGCCCTTGATGCAAGTGCACTGAATGTGTTGTCTGTCTTGGAGTAGAAATTTACAGGTCTAGTAAAAAAATGCTGCAGCAGCTGCAACACTGGAGATGGGGATGCTTGTCTGTCTTGCACCATGGCCTCAGGAGCAGTTTGACTTCTGCCTGGGGCTGGTTCTCACAAAGCAAGAGCTCTGCCTGCAGTCAGCAGCACGTGGCCATCTCTTCCTCCTTGGCTTGTCACCTGATGGGCACACAGCCAGGCATGCCTGTGCCCACCTGTAAGAGCCCACAGCCCCTCTTGGGTGCCCTGGGGGGCTTTGAGGTTTCCTCAGGCTGTGGTGGAGCGGTCCCAAAGCCATGATCACTTTGGCTGTGCGTGGTAGGTGTGTGCAGTGGTGTAATGCTGTGGCTTTGCTTCTGAAAGGCTTTGGGCATGTGGGAAAAGAGCCTCTGATGACAGCTTCTCTTGGCCTGCAGCTGCTGGCTGTCCCCCCACGTTCCACCAGGCAGCCAGGATGGGCAGGTTGCTTCAAGCCCTTTGCCTGTGTGGTTTGAAGTGTGTCAAGGTGCCTGTTTCATGCACTCAGAAAGCCCTGATGGGGCTTACTCAACTTCTCACAGCTTGCTTTAGTTGCTTTCCCTGCATGGCCAGGTTTGTTCCAGGGCGTGCCAGTGTGTGAGTCACTGTTACAACTAGTAGAAGTTTACAAGTGAGTTGTAGCTTTCAAAGTGCTTTGCTGGGAGGTGGTGCAGACTACAGGTGTACCTTGTGAGGCTTTTGCCTCTTAGCAGATGTATAAGCATTTTCCCTTGCATAGATGTATATGCTTTTCCTTTAAAACTGTTCCCCTAAAGCAAAAATTGCAGGCTGGTACCATAGATGGCTAAAGACATAAAATGCTGTGTTTAAACGTGCTTTTAAAATAGAACATGAAACAGGAACGGTGACTTGTTGTGTTTCAGCAGTGTAGTGAGTAACCTTTTTTACCTTATTCCACAGCAGCAGTTTCACTCTGATAGAGGCCAGAGTGGTAGTGAAGTACAGGGTGTCAAAACTTGCCTTTTTTTGTTCTCCTAGCAGCAGTCTCTATATAAAGTTAAGTGTAGATAGTCAGAATGAGAGCACATACTCACCTAAACCCATTTCTGCTTTTTCAATGACCTTCCACCAAACAGAAACCAACTACAAACATGTAGCTTAATCTCAAATGGCTTGAGTAGATACTGTTCTACTGTACAAAAGATTTAAAATCTAGGTTCCAGAATATCGTCAAATCCAGGCTGAGACTGAGAACATGTTGCTATGCTGTGTTTCCTAAGAAGAGATTTTGCTGATATTTTCATTTCAAAAGCCCATCTGTCAAGCAGTGGCAGGGTGATTGCTGATGAATTGATAAGCGTGAGACACGGTGCTGTGGCTGGGGATGACAGGGGACGTGTGTGTGTCGTGGGCTGTGTCACAGGGAGCACTGCTGCTGGGCCATGGGAAATGCTCAGCTCTCCTGGGCAGTGAGCAGGGCTGCAGAGCTGGGCTGGTGGCTGCTGGACAGAGGTTCCCCTCTCCCAGCCAGGCTGGTCCTGGCGGGTGCAATCCCATGTGGGGCAATGGGAGCTTGGCAGATCTGACTGGAAAAATAGGGGACTTGTGGGAAAGGTAGAACAGTAAATCTGATTTATGGAGAACAATTTTAGCATGAAGTCTTAGATTTTTGATGCAGATACTTTCTTCTTGCTGCCAATATTTGAGATTCCAGCTGGTGAATTAATTCAAGGAAAGTTGCTTTCATTCAAAAATTGGTTATTTTATTTCAGGTTTGTTGATAGCTAATGTTTAATGTGGGTTGGCAGTAATGTGCATTTTCATTAAACATTTTTAGGCTTACTGTAGTTGGTAATAATTTTTACTTCCTTAAATCGTAGACTGGAAGCTGCAAGTGTTAGTGTGAGATGACAGATTGTGGATGTTTTCACATCATTCTTTTTAAAAGGAGCTAGTTCATAACTTTGTTTTGGGGTTGAATTTAAATGTGCATGGTTCATGGCTTTCTGTTGCTTATATCCTAGTTAACTATCTAATACCATTGTTGCATAGTTCACATTTTTGTACTATTCCTGTTCATAGCAGCTTCATCTTGTGTGTTTGTCATGGAAAAAAAAAACCTCTTTGCTAAGAAAATACAGTACTCTCAGGAGAAAATTGGGTGGCAGGGTTGAGAAAGTAATTTGAGTGATATATTAAAAAAAGAAGTATGCAGTCATATGTAGGTATATGAAGAAGCATGGCAGGTATAGTACAGCCTGTTCCTATTTATAGGAGGCCTGTTTACATCAAGTAAAAAAATTATGTGTTTCATCAAATCCTTCAGAAAATAAATCTCAGTAATTTCCATGTACACAAGGTGTCATTTCCCTCAAGCAAAGGCTGTATAACATCATGATGTCAGAGCTACTCTGGAGTTTGAGCACATGCAGAATTAAATAATAAACATACCCTATTCAATATCTGCTGGTACAGAGCTAAGCCATATTCTGTTCCCTCTCCAGAGCACTTTGCCAACCCCCTCGTTGAGCGCAGCGCCGTCTCTGTGCTCTCCAAGCAGCAGCACTGTGGTCACACCCCAAGGCTGCTGAAGCCTCTTGCCATCTCCAGCCTTCCCACTGCCATCAAGCATTTGCTTTGCTTTCAAGTTTTTTCCTAAATTTGGTCTTTTGCAGTTTTATAGAAAGAGAAAACAAATATGCATATTCCAGGAATGAGATTAAAAACTGGCTCCTTTGCAAAAGTCTGGTGTTTCTGGCTGCAGAGAGGCTTTTGCAGAGGTGAATGCCAAAATATTCTTGCTGTGTAAATCCTCCCGTGGTACCAAGCTGCTTTTCCTTTTTTATTCTCTTAGAGTGTGGTCAGAGATGTTCAGAATAGTTTTCACTTTGTAAGTGTTTTGAAAAATTGCCCATTTAATCTGACATACAGTTTATTTTTCCCTTGTATCCTGCAGAATATTTGTATTTTTAGCAGCATGTAAAAGACATCATTGGAATTTGTTGAAACAACAACAACAACAACAAAGTCAGAACTGGGGGAGTGAAATTGCTTATAAGTTTCACAGGAGATGTGAGAAGCAGGAGATGCAGAAGTATTAGGTGACATGGTGAGACAGTTACTCAGACCTTGCTACATTGGAAAATTAAGCTGTGATGAAAATGTACTGATCAAAGTTCACATTTGAAATAGGAGCTGCAGCTTGGAAAAATAAAAGAACGAAATACACTTGAATATTTCTGTCCTTGCGCTGTTTTGATTGTGGAGTCAGTAAGAGGGAAAGATACACCCAATCCTGGTATGAATTTGAAGAATTTGTATTTTTCCAGTGTCTGAATGGATGAGTGTGAAGTGGTGCCATGCCTGTGCTGCTGTCTGATAGCAGGTCATGAAAGAGCCCTGATTATATAACCCCCTTCCCCTGGGGGTTTTGTATGCCTACATTTTCTCCTTGGTGTGTCAGTTCCACCTTTGGTGAATGAGGAACTAGTTATGGCTTGACAGGGAGGGTGCTTCTTTGGGCTTGCACAGGACAACTCTCAAGTTGTGTTTGATGTGGGAGCTTCCCTTGCTCATAGGTATGTGAATGGGATGGAGCAGAGCAGTGGGCACAGACCCCTGGGACCTGGACTGGGTCTTGCTTAGACCAAGACTGGTCCTTCCAGCATAGGTGGGGACATCTTGCTGCGGAGTTGTTTTCTTTTGGAGTTGTATACAGAAGGTAATCATCTAGAGGCCAATTGTCCCACGCACACTTCAGTAGGCAAAAACTTTTTTCAATTTCTTCTTTGAAGTTAAATCTGCCTCTGGATGCCCCTACAGGGCATCTCCTGGCTTCCCACCCAGAGGCAGTGGTTTGCTGTCGTGCACGTGGGTGCTGTGCCAAGCAGCGCCCGGCTGGCGCCTGTGCTGTGCTGGGCCAGCGCTCTGTGGCTGCCTTGCGTGTCTCCATTTAAAAGCCACGTCTTCCACACTGCCATGTGTGTGCCTGGGAACAAAGGCAAGCCCCCCTTGCTCGGGCTGGGCTGTCCCAGTGCAGGGAGCAGGGAGCTGGCAGTCCTGCTGTGTGCAGGCAAGCTCCACAAACTCTGTGCAGCACTGTGCAACCTCAGCCTAATTTTAGCTGTGGGATATGGCTGGAAGCTAAAATTGTCAGCAAACGTTTTTTGTATTAGCACTTTCCTAAAATATTTCACATGCTGTGTACACATTTACTTATCTCCTTTCCCCTCCCTCCTGCTTTTTTTTTCCCTTACAGCTTCTGATATGAAGAAGGATATAGAGTCTTTAATAGCCCAGGAAAAAGCAGAAATCGTCGCCAAGTATGAGAAGGTACCACCTCGTGCCCCTCCCCAGCATGCTGGCTGGGGCTGAAGCTGTTTAATCTATTAGGAATGCATCAAATAAGAACTTTTGCCTCCCTGCAGGCATCATCCCAGTAACCCTCATGCCATTAGGCTTCATGCCAGCTCTCCCTTCCTATACATCCCCTCTCACTACATCCCTGGAGTTTACTGAGGGTCCCATGTGTGCTCAGCATAGATACTGAAAGGTGCTTCAATGCTCCCTTAACACTAGGATGGCTTATGCCCAACAACACTGTTTTTTCTGATGTACAGCTTTTCCCAGCCTCTAGCAGAGGCACACATGGAATGCTGGATAGGCTGAACTTGGCATTTTTCTCTGCCTTGAATTTGGCTCTTTAGTGCAGGTTTTGCTCTCCTGGTTCTGTGCCTTTTATCATTCAGGAGAGAGGGATGTAGCATACAGGCTTTGGGGGCAGGATGCAGGCACTGGGGCATTCCTGGTGCTGGGACAGCTCACAGGTGTCCTTTCTGCTTTCAGGGCAGACAGGAAGGAGCTCAGATTGACCAATGGGAAGATGCCGATTTCACTCTCTACAAAGTTACAGACCGGTTTGGATTCCTGCAGTAAGTGCTCCTGCCCTCTCCCTTCCTCTCTGACCTCTGTGTGTGTGGGGACCATCCTTCTGCACTGAGCATGACTGGCCCAGCATCTCTCCCATAAGCTGCTCTGTGGCTTGGCTTGATCAATCCCAAATGCAGGAGGAAAGACTAAATGGGCCTCCTTCCTCAACTGTGCATGTGCAGACACTGATGCTTTGCATCTGCTGCAAGACAAGGCTCAGAAATGGCTTCCTCCCACAAACCTGGCGTTAGAAGGTGCAGGCTGGTGTTCCTGTGCCTCTGTGTGTGCCACAGAGATAGAGACCCTTGTGTTTGCACCTGATGATTCAGGGAGGAATAGGAAGAGACCAGAAAAGATAGCTGATCATCTTTGGTTCCCTTAGGAAACCTTTCCTTTAGAAATCTCCATTGTAACTAAGGCACACATGAATTACATACCCTGTGCCTGGGAAAAATGCTTAAAAATAACTATTTTTATTCTGATGCTTAACAGAAGTTACAATAGTAGGTGTTCTGTGTGTAGGAGGGAGGTTTTAAGCAATTGCTGTCTAGAAATTCTGCTTCCCCACCCTTTAAATTGCTGATCATGTGTGTATTGAAGAGGAGATATGTGCCCAGGATTTCTAGTTATGTCCAATGCTCGATTACCCCCTAGAGCTCCTGTTGGGTGGTGGGATTTTGGATGATGCTTCCCCTGCCTCTTTCATACTGGGGACAGCTGTAGGAAGGGCACAAAGTCCCCAGGACATACCCCCTCAAGTGTCTGAGGTGGTCCATGAGCTGCAGCAGCCTGTGTGCCCCCACACCCTTGCTTGCCCATGGAGTAACCAGTGACCCCTTGCTTTTCCAGCGAGCAGGAGCTGCCAACCCGCACCGCCTTGGAGGAGAAGGTGAGAGCTGCCAGCTCTGTCTTCATGGATGTGGCATCCTTTTCACACCAGCTGGGGAGGGAATGTTTTTTGAGGAAACAAGTGAGCAAGTAAGAGCAAAGCAGGCAGCCAGCACCCACTGGTCACTGCTGCTCGCCCAGAGGTGGGGACCCTGCACGATGCCCAGCTGTTGGAGCTTTTATTTTGCTTGGTCAGACAATTTTCCTCCTCCACATGGCACTGAAAAAGCACCTTTTAAAGCAGTATTGGGATTTTGCCTCTGCTTTGGCACAGTGCTCAGGAGCTGTGGCTCGTAAAGGGGACTGCATGTGCAAGGGAAGATGGTGGAAGTTGTAGGTAACCATCACTTCCATCCTCATCTCCCCTGAGAGGTGAGCATGTCCTCTGGTAGAACCCTGCTAAGTGGGACTGAATCACATTTCTTCTGATCTGATACAGTGATAGGATTTCAGTCTAGCTGGACCTGCAAAGATTTATATTGTCAGGAAATACTCCTGGGAATGCTTTCTCTATGTTAAGCCTCTGTGTCTTGTCATTTTCACCAATGCTGCTTTTAATTACCAGGTGCTGAAATTACCAGTTTCTGCACGCACCTGTAGATTATTCCCATCCCTGATGTGAGGTCTTTGCATAGAAGTTTAAACCTAAGAGGATGAAGTTTTGTGTTTTCAAGAGGCATCTCCTGGGGATTTTTTTCCTTAAATTTGTCTTTTCTTCTCCCTTGTGCCAGCAAAAACAGCAGGAAATAGAACGTGTGGACAAGTGGCTTAAGATGCTGAAGAAGTGGGGCAAATACAGAAATAGTGACAAGGTAAGGAGGAAAAGAGTGTATGTCTGGAAGGGTGGGTGTGATGGATCCTTATGATGAGTCAGGCTTTCAAAAAGTTGACAGAAAAACCAGAGATCTCTGGAGTATTGCCTGATTCTACTTGTTATCTTTAATATTTTAAAGCTTTCCTAGAAATTTCTGGGTTACCAGTTGAGGTAAAAGTCCTGTTCTGACTTACATGGCTTTAAAAAGGTTTTCCTAAATGCTGATGCCATTTTTGCACTTGCACCTGTGCAAGCAGGAGCACAGCAAGGATGCTCGTGTGCCCAGCTGGCTCCCTGCCCGGTGAGAGCAGAGGGCAGTGCACACCAGCAGTTGCCTCTGTGTTTCCACCTCCTGGAAATGATGTGGGAGATGTGACTGATATAGCCCAGTTGATGTTCCTTGTACTTCTCCCTGGGGGAAGAATTATTTGTCTAGAACAATGCTTAGATTTTGTATTTTGCTCCTAGCTGTGCCTGTGAGAAGCCACTTAGGTTTCATATTGTGTACACCTGTCTGTGGAAATCAAGGAGGGAGACGCCAACATTATGTCTTGCTTTGGTGTTAAAATGAACTCTGCACCAAACACCACTTCAAAACTGAATTGTTTTTAATAAATAGTATCTGTTTTATGTTCCTCTTACAAACCTCTTGAAACAAAAAACCCTTTGAACCTAATGACAAGACCCTTGCTGGGTGAGGAGAGGAGTGTTGTGTCTGACCTGCTCTGCTTGCAGCACTCTGCACAGGAGAGGGATGAAGCCTGGCATTGCCTTGTTGCCGTGGCCTCTGAAGCCTTCGTGTTTAGCAGGAGTGGGGTGTTTGGCTGGACTGCTTCTAGCTCCTGTTGGGAGTCCTTAGGAGAAATTTGAGCTTGGTTAAAAAGGCTAAGTGGAAAGAAATACCTGAAGAATATTTGCATAGCTGTAGGGACAACATTGAGCGGAGCATAACCTCCTTGCTCAGCTGTCAGGAGTCATGTCCTGTTCAGCCTGCCAAAGACCAGCTCTAGTCTCACTCTTCAAAAAAAACAAAAAACAAAACCAGAAACAAAATCATCTTAATGACAGCAAGGATGGGTTGGAGGTGGGCTTGGGGTTTTATAATCCTTCTGTTCACTTCAGGGTGGTTCTAATTGCTTTGTTAATCAGTGCTGCTCCACGGGCAAAATCAGAGGCTCTCCTGTGACTTGGTTCTTTCTAATTAGAAGTTAGCACTAATTGGTTAGTGACCTTGTGGGTAAACCACCAAATTCCAGCAGGGTACAGGGAATTCCTTCAGGTCCTGGAGGGTGTTTGGGGTGGGTGATGATGAGTGGTTTTAGCACACCTTGGCATTCCTGGGTCAGATGGTGAGGACAGGCAGGATCCAGCATGAGAGATGGGGTGCAGTCTCTGATCACTGTCTGTTTTGGATTTCCCTTGATAATTATTGGGGTGTTAAGCACACTGTAGCTGGTGTCTCTCAGACCTGCTGGCTGGCAAAGGGTCAGACTGACAAGTGGGTTTTGAGGGTCTTTGGGTCAGAAAATGAGAAAGCTCTTGTAGTAGAATAAGGATGTTATGAATAACAGCCTGTAAATGGTCGATGACTCTTGGACACAGAGGTGGCATTGTCCCGTGCTGGGACACCGGAAGTGGCCATCCCCTCTCCCAGCAAAGAGAGAAGCAGTGCTTGGCCCCAAGCGGGGAAGGAACGGTCTGGTGACCCTGGGGAGTAGAAAGGAGCTTTGGTTTCAGTCCTGTCCAGCCTAACACCCGTTGCCTGGCACCAAGGCAAGTGCAGGCTGTAAGGTCTGTAGCAGCCACACACCATTAAATGCAAAGACACTGAGAAGCACAAAAGAAGTGTGCCTTCTTTTAATAAAAAAATGTAAAATCAGGTTGTATCCTACACCTAGATGTGAAACCCCATGCTCTTGTGTCAGGAACATAGAAGCTACTCAGATATTCCTGCTGCCACAGCTGGATGCCGTTCAACTGTGGCATTTTAAAGACCTTATGCTGGGATCACAGTCATGTCAGAGGCTATGTCTTTTGTTGTAACTAAAGTAAATGTGACAAGCCCTTGATTTGATTTTTCTAAAGCAGAGTGGGTTGGTTTTGTTCCTTCTCTCAGCACTCAGGCTGCCACATCTGCATTGCATGTTTCCTTAAGTTTGTTTTCACCACTTGGCTGACATGATAAAACTCAAATGTCACAAGACAGCCACTCTGTGTTATTTTAACAATGACTAAGGTGTCATCTTTGAAAAAATCCTCTTATTGAAAACAAGAACCTTCCCTTTGATGTTAATTTGGATATGCTGTGCATTATTAGAGGGGAAAAAACATCTTGTTGCAGGAACTGCAAGCAGTTTCACAGGGAAGTTGCCCTGACTTTGACTCTGCTTGAATGATGTAGAAACCCATCTTATTTTCCAGACTGAGACTTCCTGGACTTAAGGGCCAACCTTTTCAGTCCCTGTTCATGTGCTGGAGCTGGCAGACATCTGATCATATCTAGTGCTTGATGAAGAGGGACTTAGCAAGCAAGCCTTTGTGTTTTACATCATTTTAGTATCTGATCGAGGCTTAGGTTGTTGTCTCATCTCCTGTGTTGTGAAATGTCAGCAGGAGGAGTGAAGTTGTGTATCCATCCAGAGCATTGACCCCGAAGCAGCCACCTGTCAGTGGGCAAGCAAGCAGCTTTTTCAGACCCTTGGCATGAGCCACCGCCAGAGAGCAGCAGGTTTGGCTTTTTGTTCCCCCACCTGCAGCCTGTGGGCATCCTTGCATGCTGCTGATGGCAGTCTGGGTCTTGTGACTGTCACAGATTATTGGAAATAAGGCTGAACAAAAAAAATAGTGGGACCTTTTACAGTTCCTTGACTAGAATGGCCTGGCTAGGAACTGAAGTAATTTCTGACATAACCTGTTTCAGGATGAGCAACAAATAGGATTATCTTAATTAAAGTAATGCCCTGGGGCTCCCTGTGCTCATCATTGCCTTAGATCTGTCTTCATCTCTGTTCTAGACACATTTTGTAACAATCTGATTTAATTTCAAGATCAGCAAAGAGTGACACTCAGCACAATTCCTCATATGGGTGGGGTTAGAATGATGCGGTGGTGCTTTTTTCTGGCTGAATTTCCACAAGGGAAAGGGTACAAAAATAAAGGAGTCCATGAAAGGATGACATTGTTTTGCAGAGTTAAGGTATGTCAAACCTGCAAAGAAGTGCTAAACTGTGTTATTCAGGGTTCAGCACAGGGAGGCTCACATCTGTCTCCACTGCTGATTTGAACCCAAGTTTAAACACCAGCCTGACTTTGCTTGGGAAGGTCAGGAAATGGCTGGGGCCTTGTAAGAATCTACACAGTTCAGGCAGCACAGTTTTGCTGGTTAAAAAAGGCTGTGCTGTGTGTGCTGCAACAGCGGAATAATTTATTCATCATAGCCCTGCAATGGATTTCAGCCAGAAGCATCAGTCATAGCAGGAGGATATGACCTCTACATCATTTCCAAGCTGCATCTTGCTGCTGGCCATGTGGGATGGGACCTTTAGAGAGGGATGTCTTTGGTCATAGATGTCTGGTTTTTAGGCAAAGCCTGCCTTTGTGCAGGGGGGAAGCCTTGCCTCTGCTAAGGTCACGGGAGTGCAGAGCACTTAATCCAGTGCATGCCAGCAAAGCGGTTTAGGATGAATCGGGCATCTGTATGGACTGACATGAGCCCCAGGAGTGAACTGTCTGCTAATGCCAGGGACAGCCAGCAGACATTTGTCGTGCCAGGGCTGGCTGAAGTCAGATCTTCTGCCTCAAATGCCATGGGAAGGAAAGGGGGTTGTGTCTGGGAGTTGTAGGATGGCTTTGCCTTTTTTTTTTTCCATTTTGGAAAGGCAGGTAGCATTTTCCTCTCCTCCAAAGGTAGCCAGGCAATAACTGTAAATGCTTTCCCATGCCCCACCAGTTTAGGACTTAACTTTGCCCCTGCTTTGCTGGCACCCCATCAGGAACAGCTGCATAGGCTCCAGCTGCAGGCACAACAGTGGAGTTGGGAGCAATCATTAACCATATGGAAAGAAAGCCATGTGTGCTGATGTCCAGACTGCCAAGCATCCTGCATGGCCACATCATCAGTCAGCAGGTTTAGTGGTACTCAAAGGAAATCCTCCACTCCAGGTGAGGATTTGCACAGCTCAGTTCCTCTGGTGCATCACTGATAGAGGATGTGAAGAAGTCCTTTTTCTTTGGAAGGGTCACTTTTTGAGTCCTAAAGGAATTGAGGAAGGCGATATCCCTGTGAAGCCCTTCCATATATCCAGCATATGACTCCAACACTTTAAGGTGTTGGAGATATTGCCATGGATACCCAAAATTTGGGCATTGCTTCTTCAGTCTTTTCCTAGTGATCCATGCACATGGCTGAGAAGTTAACAGTGACAGACTCCAAAGTGTGAAGGTGAACTGCAATGTGTATATTCTGCTTCAAAAACCAACCCACCTCTCCCAAATCTTTGAATTTCACTGTCTTTACTACTGCAAAAAAATGTTCTGTCTTTAAAGGCAGTGACTCCAACCCTTGTATTCAAGACCTGGAACAATGGTTGGGTACTTCTCAGAGGAACTGAGCTGTGCAAATCCTCACCTGGAGTGGAGGATTTCCTTTGAGTACCACTAAACCTGCTGGTGCAGGAGGATGGAGCTCAAGTCTGTACTTCCATAGTCTTCCCCATCCCATCTACCTCAGAGAAAATATGTGGGCAGGGGAGAGATAGGGATGGGGTGATGATGGCCTCTGTGCCATGAGCTGTGTATGTTAAAGCCTGGAGAGGGAAGATGATCCTGTGGCAAAATCTGGAGCAAGTTTTAGACACTGTGGTTTCAGTCCTTGGCTGACACAGCCTTTCTACAGTGTATTGAACCATTGCTTTGACCACCAGCATCTCCTTTTGTGAAGCAGAATGGTGTTTGTTATTCTTGCCTGTGCATTGGTCTGTCAGCCTGCATGGGACATGATCCAGGTGCTCTCTTGCCATCTCTAAGCACTGAGTGGTTTAAAAGAGAGTGACCTTGAGGGCTGTTTTTGACTGCCATGTGGTACAGGAGTTATCATCACATGCTGTCTTACCTCTGTCTTTTCATCCCATCATAAATACCACTTGTATGGTAACTTCCCTGTTTTCCTTCAAGTTTCATGATGAAGAAAAGTTGCTCATTTTTTTCTGGGTGACTCACAGCTCTGAGGTTTTATCACTTTCATGTCTGGAGGTGGTGGGAGGAGGAAAGCCCTTGGGTAAATAAAAGGAAGGCATTTCATTTCAGTTCCATCTCAGCATGTTTTGTACCTCCCCTGTTCCTTTAGCACTTGTGCAAAGAAAATCATTAGAGACATTACTATATGCCACTGAGGGTTACACTCATTAAAGTACAACAATACCAGCTCTGGAAATTCAAAACAAAATTATTTCCTTCCCACAGACCTGAGTATCATCATATGCCTTGGCAGCTGTCAGTCAGTCTCTTGTATTCCACTGGAAATAAGTAATCTTTTCAGAATTAGTGTTCTTGTCAGAATTGGTACATATTCTGGTTTGTTGATTCCGCCTCAGCTTTTGCTTCATAAAGGCATGAGTGCTTGCAGGAGCCAGGCTTTTGTGTTTACCTACTACTTGGGGATGTGGTTCATCTAATCCTGTTGCTTTGTGTCTCTTGATGCATTGCTCTTCTTTCATCCTGATTTAATGACTCTTGGGAAATGGGGATGAATCTGCCCCACATGGTATGAAGGTTTGCTGTCCTTAGAGCACCTCCTTATGTGAGCCTTTGGGTGTCCAGATGGTGAATTAGTGATGTCCCACTTGAAATGCAGCATGCAGTTGAACAGGATGGTGGCTTTCCATGGGCATGTCTTGCTGGTGAGGTTGCTTTTGGAGGGCAGCTTTTATTTGGTGCATACAGAGGGAAGGGCAGGATCTGGTAAAGGATTTCTGCAGGATTTCATCATGGCTATGCACTGGACCTTCACAGCTGGTGCTAAGCAATGCTTGGGGCAGGGCAAGCATTTGGGGAGTTCTGAGGATGGCATTTTAAATGTTGAATTTCCATTATACTTTCAGAATCAGGATATGTTGCAGACACTTTCTCTGTCAGCAGAAGTACTGAAATATTTATTGTAATGGAGTGGAAAAGCATTCTCATAAACATCTGGTTCTCCTGGTCCTACAGACTACAGTTATTTTACATACTTTTTTTGACTGGGATAGTGCTAGTTCTTTGCTGTGCCCTAGCCTGTCTGCTTGATGCCACCTCCTGTCTTACCTCCTGGTCTTGTAAGTCTTTGGGACAAGGACCAGCACTCCTGGGTTTTGCCCTCAGTAGACACAATGCTGCCATGAAGACAGTGAGGAAATGATGAGTGTCAGTTTGTGTTCATGGAGGCCGTGAGCCAGCACATTGCCATGGTTAAGGTCTTAATGTCCTTGTGAGAGGCTGACCTTCAAAAGTCAGGTTGGAAATAGAAGAGCTGGTGGTGCAAGGTGGGTCTGAAAGGAAAGGCAAGAGAAGCAGGTGTTCAGTTGGGTGTGGCAATGGCAACGTGGCATGCCCACATCCAGAAAACCTTCTGCTAGGATCTTGTGCTTCCCTGGGGAGTGCTGTTCTTCTCTTACATCAGCGTGCATTGCATGAAGCAGAACACCCTATGGAAAAAGAAGAGAGATTTTGAAGGTGGTTGGCATTTGTACCAGGCAGTGACAGTAGCTCCAGTTGATTGCCTGATCAGGCACTGCCCTTCTTAGCTCCAAGCTCATTCTCATGACTGGAAATCTGGCACCTCTGTCCCCTCCCAAGGAATTGCCTGGTTCTGAGGGAGCACCATAAGGCAGCATAAATATCCTCCATGGCTGGAGTTTGGGCATGTGCCACAGGTCCTTCAGTGTACCCAAGGTTGCTCAGGAATCTGGAGGAGTGCTACTGTGGGTTTTGTAGTGCAGCTGCAAGGCATTTCACAGGTCGGATGAATGAAAGGAAGGAAAGTACTCAGAAGAAGATATTTTTCTTTCTTATGAAGCTTTTTTTTGGGGGGGAAGTAGTCAGCAATGGAAAAAAAAGCTTTATTTTTTCTTTTCTGTTTTCCACTGAAATTTAATGGGGGCTTTATTACAAGAAAAAGGGAAGAAGCATCTGTGAGGTGAAGTGAACAAAGACCTCTCTCCTATGAAGACATGTTGAGTTGTTCAGCCTGAAGAAGACAAAGCTCTGAGGAGACCTCAGTGTGGTCTTCCAGTACTTAAAGGGGGCTTGTAAAAACAAGGGAGAATGACTCTTTACACAGGCAGATAGTGATATGACAAGAGGCTACAGTTTTAAACTAAAAGAGGGCAGGTTTAGATTACATGTAAAGAAGAAATTCTTTACTGTGAGGGTGGTGAGGCACTGGCACAGGTTGTCCAGAGAAGCTGTGGATGCCCCATCCCTGGAAATGTTCAAGGTTCAGGCTGGATGGGATTAGGAGCAGACTGGTGTAGTGAAAAGTGTCCCTGTGCTTGGCAAGGGTGTTGGAACTAGATGATCTGTAAGGTCCCTTTCAACCAAACTGTTCTGTGATTCTCTGGTGCTATGATTTTGACTAACAGTTGTCTTTGATGGGTGCAGGTACTCAGGTCATCCATCAGATTGGAGATGCCCTCTCTGTACCAGCACAGGGAGAGCAAGTGATTGCCTGGGGTGTCTGCTCAGATGGCTGATTATCTGCAGCAGCAAACCATGCAGAAAATGTGTTTGCCACCAGCAGGACCCAGCTAACCTTGCACATGTTTTCCTCCCTGCAGATGTGCCGGCGTGTGTACAAAGGGATCCCGCTTCAGGTGCGAGGCCAGGTCTGGTCACTTCTGCTGGATGTTGAGAAGATGAAGAAGGAGAATGAAGGAAAATATGAGGTATGAGCTCTACCTGCCAAAGACAGCAGGAGAAGGATGATAGGGAGGTTAGATCGGTTGATGAAGCTGGTTTGGTGAGGACTGAAAATGCAAAGGGTATCAACTCTTTGTCTGTGGGTTTATATTAAGCTGGAGTCTTCTAGCATGATAGTTGGCTGCTTTCTATAATATGCTGTTTCCATTTATTCTGCTGGAAGCTGGGAGCAAAGCTGCTGTCAGTGTTACTGCTTCTTTAGAGAAAGATGCAGGGAAGAGTGAGGGGAAGCTTTCCATGGGCAGCATAGGGAAGCCCTTGGTGGATAATTAACTTATTTTCCAAGCCTATGTTATGATTTATTTTGCATCATGTACCAGGGCGAGGACCAAGGTGTTGTGAAGACAATTATTTTTCACAGGCAGGAGGTTGAGTGCTGTTTCCAACAGGTGTTTCTAAAATTCCCTGCCTATTAAGCAGGGTGATGCTAACACTCATTATTGCTGGCCGAGTGTGGATGTTACTTGCGAGGTGTCGTGGGGATGGAGGCACACGCAGGGGCTGGGGGAAGGCAGGCTGGGCTCGCCACACTAAGCACAGATAAGGAGGCTCTCCCAGCATGCAGATTAAAATTGTGCTCCCTCCCTCAAAGCTGTGCTACACAGGCAGGGAAGCAATCCAAACAAATGAAAGTCACAAGGAGTTATATGTGCTCCAGAGGGGTCTGCGATAAACAGGAGCTTCAGGGCTAATAGGATTTGCTGGATGCAAACCCTCTACAAGATCATCTTAATCTACCTCTTCTTTGGTGCTGCCTGCCACCAGTAATTAGCTCTCCCCTAATTTCCTCCAGGAGAGGCTCAGTGCAGGTCCTGGATGAGGGGCTTTGCTTTCAAGAAGGGACTCAGCCTCAGACTTGTGCCCTGAAGAAACTGGTTCCAAGGCTGCCCCATTTCTCCCTGGTGTATAGCCCATGGCACAAAAGCCTGAAGGCTACCATGGGACATTCCACGCTTGCTTTTCATGTAGATGTGATGCTCTACCTCCCCAGGGTTCATTAGCTGCAGCCAGAGGGCTTGAGGGGAGCTTGAGAAGGCGGCAGGAGAAACATATTGGCCATGGGGCAGAACAAAGGCATCCTGGCTTTTACCCACTGCTTTGTACAAGGTCTTTGGGATGCGACTTCCAGCTTTCTAGCCTCTGCTCTGCCACCAGCTTGCAGCACTAATGAGCTAACAGAGCATCTGTGGAGCCCCCAGGTTATTTACATTAGGGAAAAGGAGAATAACCCATCTTGTGTTTCTGTTTTAATGTCTGCACAATTAGTAAAGCCTCCTGGGTGCATGGAGTTGACAAAGTCCTTTGTGACCTACCTGCCATTCATGTGCAATGATTTAAAAATACCCAAAGTAAGTTATTTACTTTGGGAAATTTCTGTGTTGTTCTGGCAGGGAAAACAAGAGGGCCTTTAGCAGGAAAATTTGAACTGAAGTGACCCAGTGCACATGAATAGTCATATTCTCTCAGGTAGTCTGTCTGCTTTATAGAGGGCAAGGAGCCATAGAATACAGAGACCTCACTATTTACAGCAGGGAAACTATGTTGTTCATCAGATCTTCATGCCATTACCACTTTATCCTCACTTGTCCTGTGTAGGCAATAATTCAAAATAGCCCCTATACTACTGCTCCTCCATACAGCTGCTCTCAAGGTTGAAGTTAATATTCCCAAGATGCTGTGATCATCCAAAGTGTTGGCTGTGCTGGACACATGTGGGTGCTAATGACCTTCTGCTGTTCACCAGAGCTGATGTGGCCACCTTGGGAGGTCAACAGCAGCCTGGAGGCGCCTGGTGTCAGGTTGATAAGCATTCATTGGATGGCAGCTGCTGGAGCAGATGCTAAGTATCTGTGCAGATGTTCTATTTTCTGTCTCCTCTGTGAGCCAGGAGGGGTCCTGCCCCTGGGCTCAAGGCAAATTGTGCTTGCTGCTCATCTCTGCTGCCTCCAATCTGCTGGGGAATCTCAGTGTGCCTGAAGACAGTCACAAAATGTATTTTCTTCCTGCAGTTAACCCTGGAGACATTAAAGGAGGAGGGCATGATCACTGGTGGTATCTAAAGGCTGTGAGATGAGATGCTTAGCTATAGCATAGTGGTCTTTGCCTGCAGTACAGAGCTGAATGGTGGGTTGCAGATGGGACTGCCATGAGATTTGTCCATGGAATGTCTTCATCTTGAGGCTCTGAGAGCTCAGTTGGATGAGGTGGTCTTAAACGTTCATTTGAATTTCCATTCTTTTGCAGTGGACTTAAATCCTTTTACTGTGTGATGCTGCCTTAAATGATTAGCCATCCTGGGGGGAACATGGGGATTCTTGGCTTTGAGTTTAGCTTCTGTTCTAGACTCTGCCAGTTTCTTAAAATTTGTACCAGGCCAAGAGAATATTCCAGGACTGCTTTTCTGGTGGAAACTCCTTAAACTAAAGATGACTCTCTTCTTCAGGGAAAGTAGTAGTTGGAGATCACAGAGTCTGTCATAACAGTTTGGGCTTTATTATGTTTGAGCTTCTGAAAAGCTGACAGTGCTGTACATCTGTGTATTGGTTCCTTAAGGATCAACAGAGCTCTCAACGCTTTATGACAGCCAGCCAGGCAAAGAAATCAAAATAAATGAGAGTGGAATTGAATTGTAAAGGTTTTAGATTCTGAAAACTCAGTATCTGCATTGGAAGATGGGTGAAGGCTCGAGGGCTGGGTTGGCAGCTGCTGCTGTCTTGGGATGTGAGTGTAGGGTCATCCCCTTCTCCCTGGGCCAGCAGCACAGACAAGGGCTCAGGGTCTCACCTCCAGGCTGCAGTTCATTGCTCACTGCAGGACAGCAATGTCCCCTGCTCTGGATAGCTGCCACTCCTGCTGCAGGAATCCTGCCTTCTCCCTGGTGGAGAGAGGTACAGGCTGAGATGGTGTCTGATTCCTGTCTCTTGTCTGCCCCTCTCCCTTCCAGCAAATGAAAGAACAAGCCAAGAGTTTTTCATCGGAAATCAAGCAGATCGATTTGGATGTTAACCGCACCTTCCGAAACCACATCATGTTCCGGGAGCGCTACGGAGTGAAGTGAGTATGGAAGGCTTCTGTGGCTCATATGGGCACTCATGCCAGTGCATGTGTGAGGGATGAGCTGGATCAGCAGCCAGCAGTCCCCTGGCTCAGAGCAAAGCCATCTTTGCCTTCTCCTCAAACCATCACCACACAGTGTGACCCACAGGTGCTGGGCTGCTGATTCTTTCTTCAGAGAGGTCCACACTGGAGCAGGCTCAGCCCCAGTTCTTGAGCCAGGCAACAGCCTGTTGCAGTGCCTTGTCCCCCAAGGCTCACAGTTGCAGAAGGCTTGGTTTGGGATGGCTGGGATGATGGGACGTGGGCCCATCAGGATCTGGGAGGGATGGGGTCTTCATGACAGATTGGGTTGGAGAGGTTTGACCAAGTGACTTTGTCACTGGGGTAAGTCACACCTGGCTGCCCTTCCCAGTCTCCAAGGAACAAGCTTTCTGGTTCTGTGAGCCCTGAGCCCTGCTCCTTGCAAGCGTTAAGTACCAGCTGGTTGGGTGTTTTCAGAATCTTTGCTCTCTGTGTGTAGGTACTGGTGTGTTCATGAAGCTGGAGACCTCATGCTCAGGTGTTTTAATATCCTTCTTTCTCCCCAGGCAACAGGCACTCTTCCACGTCCTGTCAGCATACTCAGTTTATAATACTGTAAGTAGTAACTCCAGTTAACATGAAGAGCATTGTGCTTTATATATTTATATATGTGTGTGTATATATATATGTGTGTGTGTGTGTGTGTAAAGATTTAAAGAAAAGCTTTATATATGTGTGTATTTGTGTAGACATACATATTTTCACGTGTAAATATATGTAATAAACACACACTTATTTAGCCAGTGGTAATTCCAATTTTAAGTCCTAGTAGTGGGTTGTACAGAGAGCTGCAAGAATCTCTGGCAGCACAAGAATCTTTCCACAGTCGTTTCATTCCCTTGTTCATTTTGTCACCTGGTAAATGACATCTGGCAGATTTAGAGTGTCAGCAAAGAACAAGGGATTGCCCTTTGGCTTTTCAGCAACACTAGTTTTCTGGCAGTCTGTCATGTTTCTGACTTCTTGTCTTACACCAAATGGAATCCTTGTTGAAAACACTTATTTACTGCAACAAACCAGTAATTTTTAGCTGAAGGATACAGGCAGAATAAGCTGAAATTAGCAGCTGAACCTACTGTCTCCACCTCTAAGAGGGGACAGTTAGAAGATGCTCAGGGGGTTAGTTGAGGAGCCTCCCTCATGCCAGATAAATGTTTACCAGATTTATTTACTGTTTAATTACTTCAGTGCTCATATGGCTGGAGGAATGCAAAACAGCATTGGAGCCACATGCTGTTTGTCATCTCAAAGATAGATTTGCCATAAGGAAAACATTTTTTAAAATGGTGAGGCATGGAAATAATTGCTCAGAGAAGTTGTGGATGCCCTGTCCTGGAAGTGTTCAAAGTCTGTTTGCATAGGGCTTTGAGCAACCTGGTCTGGTGGAAGCTGTCCCTGAGGAGGGTTGGATGAGATAATCTTCAAAGGTCCTTTACCAACCCAAACTACTCCATGAGTCAGTGACGTGGTAGATGCTGTATGCATGTGGGAGCTGTGAATTTGGACATCAACGGTAAAGACTTTGAAATGGGACAGACCTTGGCAGAGGAGAGGGAAGTACAGGCAGCTTTAGCATTATGGTAGGCTCTGCCAGCATGGCAGCACGTGTGCCCTTGTTGACTGTTGCAGGAGGTGAGCTACTGCCAAGGGATGAGCCAGATTGCAGCCATCCTCCTGATGTACCTGAACGAAGAGGATGCGTTCTGGGCGCTGGCGCAGCTGCTCACCAACCAGCGCCACGCCATGCACGGTAAGGCTGGGCTGGGCCAGGGTGTCTGCCACAGCAAGGGAACGTTGTTCAGCTTGGCAGGTTGGCAGAGCTTTGTTTCTCCTCACATATTGGTTTAATTAAAGTGGGTGAGGCTTAACTACTTGCTGGGGAGCTGAACTTCACTCTTGGAGGCAGACAAGCTCTTATCAAAAAAACCTGAGTTTTATCCACCTGAGCTTTAGTGCTCAGTAATTAACACTTTCACAGAAGTGCTGTCCTGCCTCCAGGGTTCCTTGCCCTTGGCAATCAATTAACTCAAGGTTATGAGTTTATAAGTCTCACAGAAGTACATCCAAGAGTATCCACACTAAATGTAGATGTAATTCCACTAAATGTGTGATGTATTATTTTACTTCAAACACATTAGAGATCCTTTCATCTTACTTGTGGTTAGCAGTAATCTGTGCACAGAGGCTTATTTCATGGGCAGAGAGCTAAACCTTATGGCTTGATAACTTTGGACAGTCTTAAATATGTGTCCCACTAGATTACAGGGCAATGAACATGCTTGTGGTGTTCAAACATCTTCAGCTTTTCTCTGAACCTTGGTAAGCACTGAGGTGTGTTTGGAGAGCTCTTGGCCAAGCCAAGTCACAGGCAGGCAGTGGGAGCTGGGTGAGAAGGACTAGCCGGGCTTGGTCTGAGGGTCCTGTTGCCCAGATGGGGTGAGGGGTGATCTCTGGAAAGGAGGGTGAAAAGGAGATAGCTGGGCACCCTGTTGTTCAGCCAACATCAACAGGCAATGCAAGAGATGTGTTTATAGAGAATCAGGCTATCCCTGGCCCTGCTACAGAGCTTACCTGATTTCTTTTATTTCTCTTGTCTTTTCTTGTTAAGGTTTTTTCATTCCTGGATTCCCAAAGCTGCAGAGGTTTCAAGCCCACCACGAGCAAATTTTAAACAAACTGTTCCCCAAACTGAAGAAGCACATGGTATCTCTTTACTGTCAGTCTTCCTATAATAATGCCACACTTTAATGATAAAGCAGTTCATATAGTGTTCTGCCAAACAGATGCACAGCTGAACATATTTCTAACCATACAGGACTGCTTCAGCTGTAGAGACAGGCATTTATTGAATGGGTTGCCCAAATCTTGCTAAGGTGAATGGTAATCCTTTGCTTGTTGATCATCATTAGTGGAAGGACTGCTAAAATGTAAAGGCTTCCCAAGAGAGCCAGGAAGTCTTACAGAGCCTGCAGCAGTGTGGCTGGACTGTGTGCTTGCACCAGCTGCAAGGCCCAAAGGCTGGTCTGTGTGGAGTCTTATTTCAGTAATTATTAGCTCCAAGTGCTTTGCTGTTGTTTTAAGTCAGGAGGCACATAAGATTTGCTGGGTGTTTTGTTGCTTGGGCATGTCCAGTTGCTTTTCTCTCCAGCAGATGGTACAGGCCCATTTGGTGGCTGCAGGAGCATCTGCAGGGCACACCAACTCCAGTCTTATGTCCAGGCCACTATTTTACTGCACCTGCTCTCTCCCTTTATTTCCTTTTGCCTTGCCCCCCTTTGCATTTGGTGTAGACAGCTGGTCTACACCAAAGGAGTGGCCAGACTCCTAAAGTTCTCTTACACTCCCAAGAGGCTTGGTAGCCCCCATCTCCAGCAAAAGGTGTTTGTATTACCATCATCTGCACAGCTCTTGCTTCATGCTGCAAATGGCTGTAAAAGTGAAACAGAGCCATGATAGGTTTTCACTTAATTATAGTCATGGGCAGAGGAGGAGATGGGAATAACTCAGAAAGCTGCTCATTCCTCCTGCTCCTGAAGGCTCTCCAGGCTTGCAGGTGCACAGCACCAGGCAGAAGCAAAGGCTGGAGCTGGCCATTCATCCCATGGGCTTCTTTCTTTTCCCATCCCCATTGCTTCATTGGCTTTGCAGCAGAGGTCACATCAGCTCTGCACACATGCCAGCACTCGGCACCAGATGGAGAAATGTTAGACCAAGGTGGTGATGGTGAGGTTTTTAAGAGTTTTCCTTAGCCTGTCAGGCTGTCCTGCTCCTGCAGCAGCCATGCCATGTAAACCAGGTGGAGCTTCCAAAGCTGCCTTGACTGTGCTCCAAGAGGCTCACATGGGAATTGCTATGGAAACAAAAATGGTAGTCTGCAGGAGTGGTTTGAGTTCCTGGAAGGTTTTTATAAATCCCTGGAGTAGGTATTAGGCCAGAAAAGCTTCTCCCAGAAATCCCTTTCCAATACTATGGCTGAAGTCTGGCCACATCGAGGACCAGGTTTGGTGGATGTCTTGGGCAAAGGACCAAAGCAGGGCTTCAGCACTGGTGTGTAAAGCAGGGGCTCTCTTGGGAGATCAACCACAGCCAAATCCTGCACTCACATCCCAGAATAAGTAAACCAACCAACTAACCTCCTCCAAAGCCTTATGAGCTGCTTGAACCTCCAGTAACCAGCCTGGTGAAATGCCTGTCTCTCTTTGCTCTCTTCCCCCAGGACAAGGAGCAGATGACCACTGGGATTTACACAACCAAGTGGTTCCTGCAGTGTTTCATTGACCGGGTGAGGATGCTCTGGGGGTTTTTTGTTGCTCTCCTGTTTGCATGTGTGCTTAATCTGCCTGTGTTTTTTTGTAAATCTTGTACTTTGAAGAAGCTGTTAATATTTTATAAGGTGGGATATTATGCACACTCTATTAAAGGAAAAAAATTAATAAGGGAGAAGGTAAAAATAACTGCATGTCACTGATGAGAAGGCAATTCCTGCTGCCTCATCACAAGCAGTCGCAGGGAGGTGGCTCAGCATTAGCAGTACAAACTTCAGAGTCAGGAGAGATCTTTCTCTTGCCCACTGGCACTGCTGCAAAGGCAATTAACCTCACTTTGGCTCTGGAGACAACATAGAAAGAAGAAGAGATGGGGGCACAAACCTTGACAAATAGCAGTGCAGCAGCTGCAGGCAAAGGAGCAGATTGGGACTGGAAAGGTGGAAGTGAGAGAAAATTACCCTGATTTGTCCAGAGCTAATTTGCTAGTCCTGAGCCAAGACCACTTCATTTTTAGGATCAGCATTGTGCTTACTGGACTTGAATGCAATGTCCAGACTTGCTAATATTTAGGACATCTGTGTGCTCCAGTCTCAATTTTCTGCTGCCCTGTCTTCTATAAAACAGTGGATGGCTCCTTCCCCTCGAGAGGGAACTCGCTGCTTTTGCCACGGAAAGCTGTATAAAATGCAAAATCCCTTTAACTGCAGTAGCATGTGGTAAAAGCTGCAATGGTCAGTTGTGCCAAACTCTGGAGAGTCTGCGCAGTATCCTACATTAGAACCTAAACATTTCAGTAGGATTAATATTAATTTCTGTGTTGGTGAGGTACCTTAGATCTTTGGTGGGAGGCATGGGCTACTCCATCACTTTGGACATCAGTTCAATCCTGTTTGTCAGATTGGGTCTAGGTGCAAATTAAAACCTTTTGCAGAGGTATTTTTAGCAGGCAGAAATAAACCTGTATATAAGAAAAACCTCTTCTTTGGACACCAGATGAATGATTTTTTTAATGCTTAGTGATGCATCATTGGCTTTTCAGACCTATCCCATAAATAGCCCTTTTGGGAAATCTGGATGGATACAAGAGTTGTTTTTTGTGCTCACAAGGCTGAAAGATGATGGTACTCTCTCTAGGGTAGGGGTTATCCACATGCTAGCATGCTTATGAGGGAAGTTTCTCTTTTTTCTGCATTCATGGATGGGTTTTAAGTATTTCCCCAGCCACTCAAGTTCATTAGCTTTAAGGCAAAGCCATAGATGATAAAAGACATTTTTGTGTTTTAGATGAATTCCTGACTTGCAAAGCCTAGCCCTGTTGTGTGATTTGGTGCAAGGTGATGCAGTGATGGCAGCAGCCTCTGTTTCATCATGCCATTTGTGACTTGTCTGTGTGTTTGGAACAGACCCCATTCACGCTGACCTTGCGCCTGTGGGATATCTACATCCTGGAAGGGGAGCGCGTGCTGACGGCCATGGCTTACACCATCCTTAAACTGCACAAAAGTAAGGTCCCACCTGATTGCATCCCCTGTGGCTCTGGTGGCACTGTGCTGGGCCACCTTTGTGCTGCTGACCTGAAAAGCCTTGCTGGCCACTTCCAGCCTCTTGGTGCCTTGCACTGGCCACAAAAGGCACAATCCAGGGGAGGAAAGGAGATGCCACAAGGATTGACTTGCTGTGCTCAGCACACAGAAACCACACCTGAAATGCTCCCTACTGCCTCTTCCTATGTACTGTGCCCCACAAATTGCTTTTAGAGGCAATACAGACAGCAGCCCATCTGTCTGCAGAACTTTATGTGGTGACTCAACTGAAAAGTCTGTAGAGGGACAAGTAAGTCTACTAATACGCTTCTAAAATGATCAAAACCTGGTTGTCCTGCATAACACTAAGGCAGTGATGTTTCTACCTCGAGATCTTTGTAACTTTGAACCCCTTCACTCCCATAAATTGATAGTCTTGTTGTGTCACTCTTTTGGCCTTCATCTGGGGCAGGAGTGTATGATGAGAACCTTTGGGCAGCAGAATTTATGGTACTGCATGTGTTGGCTTCTGCAAACAGCCACCCTGTTCTTCCCTCATTTAAATGAAGAACAGGCTATCCATAAATAAATCTTGAAGTATCCTATTTGTCTGCAGAAAATGAGAAACTGGCAGGCAGGCAGATGTTTCAGTTTGGTTGTAAAATCTCATCTCCCTGAGGAATGTGTAGTGTGGGTTGACATCTCTTCCTACAACCTGTATTTTTGCCTGTATCCCATCCCTGTCTGTAACCTTTGGAAGGGCCAGCTCCTCTTCCTGCTTCCCTGCCTGCTGGTGCAGGTTGGCATCCTCAGCTGGTGGTGGCAGCTGCCACCAGGGCCTCTTCAGCCTGATGCTTAGGGCCTGTCTCATGGAGCTTTTCCTCCTCCTAGAGGCATTGGTGAGAACTTCCAGAAATGGTCTGAACCCTGCATCCTCATCAGCACAGCTCCCAGCCCTGCCATTGTCATGCCACTGGGAAGCTACTGCTCAGCTGGCATGGATATATACATGTATTGATGACCCTGAGCAATGATGGGCAGGTGGGAGAGAGGCAGAAGCATTCAGGCTGTCCCACTGTGGAATGGGAACAGCAACAGAATCCCACATAAAACCAAAGCATGGTGTAACCCACACTTGTGCTACCCTGAAATTTGTCTGTGCCACTGCCATTACTCCTTTCTCCCATCCCCCAGAGCGCTTGCTGAAGATGACACTGGAAGATTTACGTGAATTTCTGCAGGAGAAAATTGCTGCTTCCCTGCAGTACGAGGATGATGCTGTCATCGAGCAGCTGCAGGTGTCAATGACTGAACTGCGAAAGATGAAGTTTGACCTACCCCCACCAGGTGGGTAGAGGGGAAGGTGGGCAGCCCAGCAGGGACCAGAGCATCCCACTGGTGTGGCTGGGAGCCAGGGCAGCCCAGAGGGGCTGGTGCCTGTTGTGTGGAAGCATCTGTCTTCCTTACGTTCAGGGCATGCAAACATAAACTGATGCATAGTTTGGGTTTTATTTTGTTTTCTCTGCTTCCAATGCAGCAAAGCCTGAGGAGTTTCCAAGGAAACCCCTGGGCCTGGAGCTCTCCCTCAACCCAGTAGCCATAAAGGAAAACACAGCAGCCAATGGCCAGAATGGCCAGGTGGGTGAGCGCACTCCAGACAGGGAGCCCCAAACCGACGGAGTTCCTGGCACACCAGGAGGAATGACAGTGGTGGAAGCGAGGATTCTCACCTTCCAGGGTAGTGAAGCAGCTGAAGCAACGAATGCGCCTGTTTCGGGTGGGCGGCCACCGGATGAGGAGGGTCAGGTGGAGCCCATCATGGACGGGCAGCCATCATCTCTTCTGAAGGCGAGCGAGACACAGGCCCAGCAACACCTCCTGCCTACGGTCCTGCCTCCAGAGCAGCCCCTTCTTGCTCCTGGCTGTGCTGTGGTGGACCATGGAGTCTCCCTTCATGCCCCAGCTGAGCACAGCTCCATAGACTCCTCTCTCCAAAACAGGCCGGCTCCTCCCGACTCCAGCACCGCTGAGCCTTCTGCTATGGACCAGGCAGCGTGGCAGCCAAATCCTGCTGCCCTGCCAGCAGGAGAACAGGACCAGGCAGCATGGCAGCCAAATCCTGCTGCCCTGCCAGCAGGAGAACAGGCATCTTCCCTGAGCAGAGACACAGTGCTCGAAGCAGCCCCCCATCCTCTGCCAGCCGGCTGCCAGCAGCTGTCCCAGACATCACAGAGCCATGACTCCCCCGAGAGCGAGCGCGGGGAGGAGGCGGCGGATGACAGGCACTGCAGGGCGGTGCTGCCGGACAAAATGGGCCTGAAGCGCTCGGCATCCAAAGCTGCATCCACAGGGGAGCTCCTCAGCCTGCAGCACAATGGGCTGGGCAGTGCCGCCAGCACCACGCGCTGGCCCGAGGCCGTGCTGCCCGCGCACAGGCAGGCAGGGGGCAGTGTGCCCATCTTGTCCAGCAGAGAGCCGGAGGCAGCAGGGCTGGCCGAGGGCTGCCCCACCCAGCGGGCGCCGTCCCCTGTGGTGGAAGGGAACAGCCCCTATGTCGTTATCAAAACCACCACTCCCCTCCACCTGGCCCATGCGACAGAGCAGGACTTCTTGAACAGAAAGCAGGTGGCATTGCCTTTGTCAGAGACTGGACATCCTCTGCCTACCACCTCCATGCCACCACCTCTTATGCTGGACGCAGAGGAGGCAGAGGTCCAGAAAAGCCTCCAGAAACCATTAAATGCACTGAAAGCCCCACGACCCCCACTGAGCCCCAAACCAAAATTACCACCACAGGTTGCCAAATCCCGCTCAGAGAACAGTTTCCTTTCAGGCTCTCCTTCCCTGGCAAAACTGCCCAAATCGGTGACGTTTTAGTGGGGATGGGGAAGGGGAAGTTAAGGGAGAAGAAGTGGGTTCTGGAGAAGCACCCTTGCCCCATTTACAGGATCCCCTTCTGTCAGCAGGGCTGTCAGGGTGACAGCACAGCACCATCGCACGTCACGCTGTGCTTTGGTACGAGTGCCCAGTGAGGAGATGAAGCGGGGGCCACCAGCGCTAGGAGACACCAGCAGATTGGATTTGCATGTTTCCTATGGACAAATTGGAAAATGCTTTCAGTTTTTGCTCCTCAAAGCTCCCCAAGTCTCATCACTTGGGGAAAGAGGCAGAGCTGGTGAGTTTGTTGCGTGTTTTCTCCTGCTCCTGTCTGTGGGAACCCACGACCAAGCAAGCAGGCACAAGGTGTCAGAATCCAAAACGCTTTCTTTACAATGCCCCATCGGCGCAGCTACAGCATTGCTTTCAAAGGCCTTTGTAGCAATAGATCTTTATTTCATTTCCCAGACCTGCAGTTGTAGGCAGCAGAATTTCCAGGCAGTGCCATGGCATCCTGGCAGGACATAGGCAGCCCGCTGCCCCCTCTATGCAATTCCACAAAGCAGTGCCCAGCTGTATCTGGCTCCTGCTGCCGTGGTGGATGGTGTTTAGGAGGACAGATTTAACAGCTACTGAGTCCCTTGGACATCTCCTTGGTGTCACCCCGGTGGGGGGCTGCCAGCAGAGTGGTCCTTTCCCAGGTTCTCAGGGTGACAAGGACAGTGATGAAGGTGGAGCCAAGAGCCCAGTCTCTTGGGCCGAGTGCCCTTTCTGTTGGCCTTTCCTTCCCAGGGCCAGCACAGCGAGCAGGCTCGCTGCCTTTCTGTTCCTCAGACAGGAGAAGGGGCTGCTGGCTCAGGAAACCCGCCTGCACTACCCAGCTGCTGGACGCGTGATGGCATCTACTCACAGGGCTGCAGATAAGTCCACTTTTGCTTTGAGTAAGTTAAGTGTCAGAGTGGAAAGGGCATAGGAATTGGGGAAGGGGGAGCACATTGCCCAGAACCTTATCTTAGTCCTTCTGGTTGAGCCCACAGAGAATTAACAACAGGAAGGAAACTTGGACATGATGGGTGCCCACATGCCCACTTGCCCTTCATGCATTAAGTCCTAAAGGTCTGTCCATCTCCTCCCCATCCCAAGGTGCAGCTGCTGCACAGCCCAGGCCATTGGCTGGAGATGTGCAAGGATCTGGGGAGACACCTCATAGAAAGAGCTGGTCCAAAATTCTGATTCCAATATCTACTTCACCCTTAGAAGGGACTTCATCAGGAAGGCAGATCAGTGAAAAAGCAGGAAGTAGTCCAGATGTGCTGGATTTGACTTTGCTGTCCAGACGGGGTAGCTGCAAGTGCAACCTTAGGTGGGACTGCAAGTGGGATTCCCATTCCTTCAACAGAGATCCTGGGCAAAAGCTCCTATAAGTTCTAATCAGACTTTGAAAACTAATTTTTTTTTTATATCTCAAAGGCTGCTTCAATTGCATAACCTGATCTAAAGCCTACCTGAAAGCCCAGCAGAAAACTTCCACTAAATTACTTTGTGGGTTCCAGGAGCTGGACTTGATGATGCTGGTGGATGCCTTCCAGCTCAGCATATTCTATGGTTCTGTGATCTGTCAGGGTTTATTTTGCCTTGTGTACATGTGGTGGTATATGTTTGCAGCAGGGAGTGTCAAAGGGAGCACTGGATTTTTGTTTGGATGTAGCCAGCCAGACCACAGCACCCTCAGCTTTCATTGGAACCCCAGCTCTGTCCCAGATCCCATCTTCTTCCACTGAGCCTCCAACCTTGCCCATCCTCTCCCTCTGTAGAGCAGAGAAAACCCTATTAGCTACCTCGCAGGGGTGTTGTGAGGAGTCGAGCATTGCTGTTTGAGGAAAAGTGCTGTTTGAATGTTCAGTATTTGTGTTTTGAGACACCACAGGTCCTTTCTAGGACAATGGTGCTTGAATTGTTTTTAATTTAGAGTATGTTTTTCCATAACTGTGCATAGTTAAATATTATTTGTGCGTTAAAATACCTGAGCAGTATTTCAGGACAGATATCCATTGCCTTTTGCTAGCAGCCCACTGGCCACAGGAGCTTACTGGGAAGCAACAAGAAGCATCTGAGAGCTGTTGGTCACATCTTGGCTTCTGTAGCTTGGGGCTCTGTCCTCTCCTTGAAGCCCACACAGGACTCCTAATGCATCTGAGCATCACGCATGCAAGAGCTGAGACCTCTTTCCCCTTGTTTTAACCCATTTTCCCTCATTTCAGGCACACGGCCTTTGCACATCATGTTTCTTGTGCACCCAGACTCCTCACACAGTGTGTCTGGGATGTTTTGCAGTATTAACATTTTAAAAAGGTGGTTTGCTCTAATTTTGGAGAGCTGTCAAATGTACAGTACTCATTGCATGGCATTTTGTGCATGATGTTCAACGTGAATTTTGATGGGGAAAGTGGTGGGAGTTGTCTTTCTCTCCAAGCCCTAATGGGAATGAGCAGCAAGGTCCTCAGTCATCTTCAGGCCTGGGGGAACCACCAGCAACATGCATTGCTGTCCTTGGTGTGATGCTCTCACTGGAACACATCAGTGCATGATCCCCAAGGAGATGCCCACTCCTGTCTGTCTCCTCTTGCTGCAACAAAGCTGCAGCCATGGTGGGTCTGCAGCAGCATGGCCCAGCCTCAGCTCTTTTGCAGGAATAGGAAGGGAAGGAGCAGGATGAGGGTGGCAGCTCAGCAGGACAAATTACCTAACCAAGCCACTTGCAGCCCTGCCCAGCCCCCTGCAAGAGTCTCGACCCCTCAGCAGAAACCACTCTTACTGTGAGCAAACGTGGGAAAGGAGCTCCCCACATCCTTGTCCTTGCAGCCCTGACACAATGGTGGCCTTGCTGCCTTCCATGCAGAGGTAAGGACCAACGCTGTGTGTTTGGGTTTTTTAGGTTTAGTTTGTTTTTCCTTGTGTTATTTGTTTGTGATAGAGCACTTTGAGTGGCTGCAGCACGGGCAGAGAGCAGGAGCCACAGGACCCAGCTCCAGCAGGGGCCAGAGGTTGAGGTTAGGGTTTCTTGGCCATGCACTTTGAGAGCCTGGCTACCGTCTGCTTTCCTTTTTATTTGCTCTTCTTGTTTACAGCGTGGAACGCTTCTTTCATGACTCTTTCTAATGTATTATAATTATTACTTTTAAGAAAAAAAAAAGTTTTTATGTCTGTTTTTTTGTTTGTTCAGTTTGTTTGTTTTAAAGGAAGGGTTTTTTTGGAAAAAAAAAAAAGTCAATCATTCCTTTTTATGCTGATCCAAACTGTCCGGAGTGTTTGATGCTGTGTTTTAAATGGTTGTAGTAATAATGGTTAAAGAAGTTTAGCACAAATTCAGACTCCACAAGGTTTCTTACAGGAACAGAAGCTGCACCAAGACTGGTAGTCTTCTCCTGATGACTTTTAGCTTGGTTCACTGTGTATGCTTCAGCTGCAACAGGTCCATCCTGCTCCATCTCTGCTTTCCTCCCTGATTTTCTATTGTCATTAAATCCAGGCATCCTCGGCAGCAGTGGAAAGCAAAATGCTCTTTTCTACTTACCGCCATCCTCTCCCAGCTGAGCAAAGGGCAGCATCCCTTCTCACACACAGCTGCTGATCAGCAGCACTGCTGAAGCTTGTGTTTTGGCCAAGATTTTGTGTTTGGAGTTTGTTTTCCTGCCTGTAGGCAGTGTAGGGAGGCTGGATGGGAGGGGGAGCGGGTGGACACAGCTCCTGGCACAGCAGGTGGGTGGGTGGGTGCGACTCACCCTCGTGAGTCAGGGCTGAGCTGAGTCACGTTTACAGCAGCCACTGGGAGTGTGAGGTGGTGCTGCTGACAGCTGAGGATGCATTTTAAAAAGCTGTGCGTGAGCAGTACCTCTGACACACCCCAGATTTCATAGCCAGGGCTTCCTGGGCTTAGATGACGATGGTACTGCTGCCTTTGAGGTGGTAAATGTGAGCAGTGAGCAGTGTTGTGGCTCTCCTGAGAGAAAGCTGCCTCTTAGTGTTAAGCAGCATGTTTATGGTAAACACAGGTCTGTCTCTGCCGGAGTAGCACAGAGGGCACAAAGAGTGACAGCAGATGGAGGGGTCAGAAGTAGCTAAATGGCACTCTAGGATTTAAGAGCAGTGCCTGAAACTGGCATCCCCATGTGTCTATCACCCACTGAGTGCTGTAGGCTGGGTTTCCTGCTTCTGTTACTGCCCTGCCACACATGAGAGGTCCAACAGGAACAAAAAATTGTTCTCCAATGCCCTTAAATTAGCTGATTTATATTACTTAGGTTAAAACCTGGTCTGAAACACCACAGAAAAATAAAAAGAAAGCCCCAGCACCACTGAACACCACAGTGTTTACTGTCACAGAAGCAGCATGAGGATGCAGCTCTTGGCACATCTCCTGTGCCATTTCACTGGATACCAGCATGGGGATTGCAGCACTGTGACCAAGGGTGAGATCCCCGGGCTGGAGTGAAGCAAACCTCATCCCTCTTGTGTTCCAGGTGCTCACAAACAGCCTCATTGCACAAGCTGCTTTGTGTCACCTCCCGGCCACCAGCTCCCTGAACCCTCAGGCAGTGCCAGGTGGGACCAGGTTTGAATTTCTGCCACAGTTACTTACGTGACAGGCAGTGCAGGGTTTAGAAATGGCATTTATCCAACTGCTAAAACAGCATCCCTGTCAAGGAGAGAGCAGAAATGTCCAGAAGGGCAGCTTCCTCAAGGGAAGGTGAGTTGTGCTAGGTTTGAGGGTTGTGTTCCTCCATTAAACAGCCTTGGTTCACGTGGTTGTTGAAAAAAAATGGAGGAATATATTGCTTATTGGTATCCTTGATCCCCAGGCTCCCTGCATTTGCCCAGTTGTGACCTTGTGGCTGTGGTACTCTCACCCTGTCCCTGCAGGGACCAGGGACAGGCATGGCTCCACCACCTCCTCATACAGCATCCCTCCAGCTAGTGCAGGAGCCACAGAGGTACCCAGCCTTGAATTGGTGCTTGATGGGGCTCTCAGGTATGGTTTTGGGGTGCCAAGCACCCACTGCAGAGAGTCCTTCCTCTCCTGTCCCCCTGAGGGCTTGACTGCTGCTGGCAGGGGACAAAGCTTAGGACAATCCCAAAGCCCAAGGTTACAGATACCCACTTGATGGACAGCATTGGGACCAGCAGCAAATGAGTGTCATAGATGGTGTTGAGGCTGCTGCTTGAATCCTAGTGGTCTTATCAGGCAGGGACAGGTCCTCCCACTGCCTCTTCCTCTGCACTTGGTATTTGCCAGTATTATCATCTCCCTTTTCAGGTGGAGCCATTGCTGTCCTCACAGCAGCTCTCCAGCTCCCAGGGCTGGTTCCCAAGGCAGAATTGCAAACTCCCCAAGCTGTGCTCAGCTTTATTACCCTGGAAGCCCCCTGTCCTTCCTGGCTCAGGAACAGCTAAACCAGTAGGCCCAGGAGCTGGGACAAGCAGGAGAGCAGGTCTGTCCTCGCTGCTTGCTGCCTCTCAGCCAAGCCCTAGCTGTGCTCATCACCATCCCTGCCCACCTCCCACAACACAGAAAGCTCTTCAACTGCTGCATGCCTCCACAAGGCTTCAGCCACTTGGCACTGAATAATTGATGCTAAGTGGAGCCTGGAGTAGAGAAGTTGAGAGAGGGAGCAAGGCTTTGTGCTGCCTTAGGAGGCTCTGCTCCTCAATATAGCGGGGGAGAGAGATGGGTGTGCGGTGTCTGGCAGCTTTGTGCCCCAGCCAGTTTGGCAGAGGCAGCTGGAGTTTGGCTGGGCCTGGGAGCATTCCTCTTCTTGGCCTTGCTGTGCTGCTCACCTGCTGCTCACGTGCTGCTGTGTCCTCCTGCCATGGTGGTGCTGCTGTGCTGTCATTTGTCACCTGCTGCTGTGGCACCTGTGGGAGCTGCACGCTGCTGTCATGCTGCTCTCATGCTCCTTGTGTGCTGCAGAGGAGCTATGGCAGTAGTGGATGGGACTTGGGGAGCAGAGCAAGGGCAGACCCAGCAGCCCTTGCTAGGGCTGGTACCATGGCTCTCCTAAGCGACACACCCTGTACTTAACCCATAGCAAGAGCAAAGCAGTTGCACATGGGGCCAAGCCCATCTGCCTCTTCCCCTTCCCACCAGTTGCTGGTGGCTGTCACACCATCCTCTGAGCAATGTCATCCCCTTCCTACAGCACATCCCCAAGTATAAAGCAGTGTATGGAGAAAATAACAGCCTGGCAGTTTAAAGAGGCAGGTCTGACCGCTTTCCAAACCATCTCCCAAATCCTACTGCCTCAGAGGCTGAGGAGGCCCACAGGGCACACACCAGCATCCTCTTCACCTAGAAGGATGTGGACAGCAGGAGACAAGCAACCCACAGCTGAAACATCTCACCAGGAGATGCAGCAGGTGCACCCATCCCACAGGCATCCTTACTCACTGGCAGCAGTTACAAAAGAGCCCAAGATGGGGATGCAGAAGGCTTAGAAGGCACACATGAAGACATAAGTCCAAGGGATTGGAGTCACTAAAGCCTGGCTATTCTTCCACACAGTAAAACAGGCTCCTCCTAAGACACAGAGAAAAGTAAACTAAGAAACTTCCAATTTTGTCCAAAATTGGTATGAGCTCCCTTAGAGGTACCTGTGACTACATGGGATGCAATATCACAAGACCCCCTTCCAGCCATCCCATTAAGAACCTGGGCCACTCAGGTGCCCTGGAGGCCATTCAGCCTGGCCTCACATCAGAGACCTGCTCCTGGAACATCTAAGCCTAGAGACTTGGGGAAGCTGTTTCCTGAGTAGCTTTGCTTACCTTTATGGTGAAGGCAAGAAGTGATACACAAGTACTGCTTAGGCTGGAAAGGTTTGCAGCGGTGGCTGTAGTCCAGAAGGGAAACCTAGTCTGCTCCTCTACCCAACCACACAGAGGCCAGCATTTTGCCAGAGCTGCTCTGTAATACTCAGCCTTTCATTCAGCTGCCCCCACCACCACTCTCATCTCAGGTCTCACTCCAGCACTGAGTCATTGCTGCCAGCTCCTGCACAACGCAGGTCTTTGCCAAAGCCCTTGGCAAGCACCATGCACTCACCTGCTTTGGAGTCACCCTCTGTGCTGGCTTAGGAGAATGCTCCTGGAAGCCCTCACAGACCAAAAGGCATGAGATCTGTTCCAGCACTTGATCAGCATCTTTAAGGACTTGCAAGCAATTGTGGTAGTTGACTCAGCTGTGATGTCTCTGGCGCCTCAGCCCCTCTGTAAGAGGGTGTGAGGCACTTGAATGATGTGAGAGAACATGTATTATACGCCTGTCCTGAGACATCTGGACCTGACCAGACTAGAACACACCTCATCAACTATTCTGTAATTTAAGTGTGGGTTCAAAGGTGGCACTCCTCCATTATGGGATATGCAGTCTCAACATAATCAGTAGGAGGCTGACTGAAGCCTTCTCAGAGCTGGTTTTCACACTGGCTGGAGATCCACAGCACAAGTTTAGTTCAGCTTTGCCATGACCAGCTGAAGAGATCACAACAGCCAGAGATGAGCTGATGTACTCAAACAGAGCAAAAAGCTCACCTCTGTGGACTCTTTTCCAGCTTCAGCTGTACAACAGGAATAACCAAAACACATTCTGCTTGCCTGAGCGAATGCCTCTAAAGCAGAACTGAGGTACACAACAGACTCCTTATCATCAGGGAAACAACTGCAGTGTCTGAAAACTTCATCTTCCAGTCCAGGTACTTCTAGAACAAAAGTGCCTTGAATAACTATGGGGAAAATCAACTCCAAACCCCTCAATTTCTTCTCCAAACCTACATTCACTCCAGTGAAACTGTAATCCTGGTATTACTTTCAGACTCAAGAAGTTCAGCTAGCACACAGAACACACTGTGAGCTCATGTACCGACCTCCTGCCTGTCAGGGGCCAGCAAGATGCCGTCCTGTCCCCAGATCATCAGCACCAAAGTAGCAAGTGAAAAAGCCAAGTCAAGAGTAACAACTCCACCTGAGAGAAGTGATACAATCTGGTTTTTGCCAACAGAAAGATCAGACCAGATCACAGCTGATGTATCTTGATCTGTCATGATTTTCCTCCTGGAACAAAGATGCAGTATGACAATACACAATTAATACGTGGTTTTTGGAGATCTGTGGTGTCAAGCTTTTAGCACCTCCTTTTGCTCCTAACCTACCGCCAGCTTTTAGCAGGGACTTGAACAATGACCTGAGTCTGGATTTCTTGTGACCCAATTACAGCAAAAAACTAACCAGCTCCTGTGATGGTCTGTTACTGACCAGGATTGTCTGACAAGCTTGAAAATCTTACCCTGAGTGCAAATCCTCTCTGAAAGGGAGATGCTCTTACTTCAGCTTCCTGCTCCTCACCACACTCTTCTAAGTAGTTTGTATTCTGGCCAGTGCTGTTCTAGCACATCCTCACCAAGATGTGCCAGTTTCTTGATACTGCACCTATTGCCTGCCCTGTGAAGAGACCTTGGCCCTGGCACTCCCTGGAGCTCCTCAGCTTCCTTGACTGCAGCTCCCAGTACTTGACTGTGGCATTTGTCTCCCAGCCAGAAATGAGAGGAGACTCTCAGTGGTTAGAGCCACCCAGTCCCTGAGAGAGCACCAGAGTGTTACTTCTCCTCTGAAGGCCTCCAGATAGATCTATCCTATCCTTCACTGGGGAAGAAAGGGCAAAGTCCTACTGCAGATGAAGAGCACCAGGTTCTAGTGCAGTAACACTACCAAGCAAGGGTCCCCGTGTCATCTTCTAGAAGGACAAAGTACTGCTGTCCTGTGGCCAGTTGTGCACAAGATGCCAACTTTAGGAACAACCCCCATTCTTCCAGTCTTCACACTTGAAACAACTCAGAGTGGGAGGTTTTCTGGGAGTCTCTGTTCAGTCCCACCATGTAACACTAGGTTCAGCATCTTCAGCAATCCTCCAGCACAGGGACAGACTGCTGTAAACAGCACACCCAGCTAAAGGCAGGGCACTCTCCCCTCAGGCAACTTCTCCCACTCCAGGAGCTGGTATCAGCCCTTCTGCAGGAACAGGGTGCCAGGCAGCTGCAGCCAAGGTGGGGGCTGTGCCCTACAGCAGTTCAGAGCAGGCATTTACAGAAAGCAAGCCATTAGTACAAGTCCTCTCTTGCCCAGGCCAAAAGCAAAGACAATACCCCCAGGAGCATGGGAGTAGAATTGTGTTGCTTTAATTCTGTTGCTGCCTGGCATGACAGAGGATGGGGAGTGGGATGGGAGGTTGCTTGCAAGGATGCTGGGAAGCCCTGGGTGGGCTGTGGCTTTGTGCTGGGGGTGACCAGGGTTTCTTTACTGGTTTTGCCATGTGACTTACACACCACCCTCACTGCTCCCAACCCAGAACAACCTTGGGTGCCAAACCCAGCACCTCTTCAGGCCTGGGCTAGCCCATGCAGAACAGCTCCCTGCCACACTCAGCTGGATCACCTTCCTCCTTTGATGCTTCTAATTTTGGATGCCAGGTAAATTAGCCTGTGCAAAGCTTGGAAGAGGGAAAGCTATCCACTGCACTGAATGCAATGCCTTGTCTCGGGGCTGCAAGTAAAAGGCACGTAGGTCAGACCTCAGGCAAAAACCCCAAAGGAGCAGAGCTGGGCGAAGGCAGGGTTCCCAACAGATTAGCCCTAATCCAAAACACTCTTACCCACTTGAAACCCAGGAACTGGAAGCTTGAATCCTTTAGTCTTAGTTGCTGAGCAGCCAGACAGCTTCTGCAGTGCAGGAGAGCCCTTCTCAACATACTCACCAGTCAGAAAGCCGTGCACCAGGCAGACGAGGATTTGCTTACCTGTACATCCTGGAGCAGCCCAAGGTGTATGTGCTATACAGGTGTTAGCATAGCTAGGGCTGGAAGGGACCAAAAAGTCCCAATTCTACTTCTAGAGCACAACACATGAGGGAGGTCTTGTGTAACAAAAAGCTGACAGGAAAGGAATCAGGGAAGCAACAGACTGGTACCAGCTGAGGTGAAAGTAGCTCTTGAATCTCCTTGCTGATGCTTCTTCCCTTCCAGGCATTGTATCTGAGGCCATAAATCCCACAAGGACTAGGCTGAAAGCAAAGCACTCAAGGGGTGCCAAGGACAGGCTTGGACTGGTTGCACTCTTCCACCCTCCCAAAACTTGGGGCCAGCAAAGTTCCAGGTGGGCTGGGGAGGACATGACAAAGACTTGCTGGAGACAGAGACAAGCTGTCTTGCCGTGAGAGCTTCTCTCCCACCCTGATCACCTCCATGATCTACAGCATGACCTTGGTCTGTGGAAAGAAAATGTCAGCACCCTTTCCTCCCCACCATCCCACCAGCGATCCTTCCAGAGCACCAGCAGCAGCAGCCTCTGGAAGGAGGACACAGCCATCAAGGTGATTTGTTGAGACGATCAAATAATAATTTACTGTGATTCAATCTGTGGCTTTGTACAGTTGCCGGGGTGGGAGGAGGCCAAAGGATGAGGGGATGGGGATAAAAAAAAAAAAGAAGTTGTTTGCCACAGGCTTGGGTGAAGTGCGAGATAGTCCTTGGAGGGCCTCATGCTCCCCCTGTCCTCTTCGTCCTGCTCCTCTCCCCCCAGTACTCCTCCTCTGAATCCGTTTGCTGCTTCCTTTGCTTCACCTCTTTCCTTGCACACTGCACAGTGGGAACCTCGCCAAGACACGGTCCAGACAGCTGAAACAGAAGAGGACACTCATGAGCACTCATTCCCCATCAGAACAAGCGGGGCTGTTCCCAGTACTCACCCCTCACATTTGGGGATGACCCTGCTAGTGCCCACAGAGCTACACAGGTCTTAGAGGTCTAGGTCTGGGTCTGTCTTAGCAAAGCATCTGTACATGTCCTGAAGGGAACAAGTCTTGGAGTCGGTGGAGTGATGGGTGAGCTTTGGGCACCTCACCAGAACTTCTGCCTCTTTCTGAACCTCCTTGTGGGAAGGGGCACTGTTTGGCAAGATCTTTCCACCTCCTCCAGGGATGATGGGAACCACAAAATGAGTCCAGGGCAAATGCAGCCAAATTTCGTTGGCCACAACACCCACCCTTCCTCTCCCCAAATCCCAGCATGTCTTTGCCTCACTTCTCCTTTTGTGCCTTGATGTTCCTCCCTCTCTGCTCTTGGGCACTGCAGCTAGATTAAGCTGGGATGTCTGGTTTCCAGTTTCTGCCTGAGCAGAAAAAGACACAGGCAACTTGCAGGCCATGTTCTCTTAACTGAGAGGAGTGTTTCCAAGTGACCCTTTCCCAGTCCTTCTTGCCCAAGCTGGTGCTGCTACTCGGCTGTGCCAAGGATTGGGCTCCTGGCGGTCGGTGTAAGGAGCAGCAGTGCCTGCCAAGCCCATGCTGTCAGCTGTGAGCCAGAGCAGGAAACAAGCCTTGAGCTCATATCCCCATCCGGAGGAAATGCTCCTGAACATCTGGAGGACACAAACATCTGGAAAATCTCCCTTAGCAGTGATAAGTGTGCTGGGCACAGCATTCAGCTCGGCCCCCAGCCGACCTCACACGCCTCGGCTGGGAGGGAGGGGTGGGGCTCTGGGGTGGGTGTTTGCTCATAGGAAGCAAACGTTGCCAGCACTGTTTTGTTAGGTTTTTTTCCTTGGGAGTGGGGGGCAGGAGGAAGAGCTCTGCTGTGCTCATGGCTTCTAGCTCAAAAAGCATCACAGGAAACCTGCTGTTCATCTCCACCTTCAGGAGACCCTCTTAACACCATCTCTAGATACAGTGCACTTCTCTTTAGGACTCCAGCAGTTATTTATAGGGGTAAAGGGCCAGTCCAGGTGCTTGAGAGAATCCCCAAAAGACATTAAGGGCAATGTTCATGCATGCATTTGTCCCAGATGTCCTTAGATACTGCTCTCCTTGGTGGACTCATTCCTAGTTGCCCCTCTCTAACTTTCTGCCATGAAGGAGTTGGTTACACAGACAGATGTTCCCAGGCCTTTCACTTAAAGCCAGCCAGTACATGCAGGGACAATAATAGGAACTCTCCCTGACTGCTATCCAGCAATGTTTTAAATAAACTCATAATTAAAAAAAAAAAAGTGAGGAAAGAAAAACAGGCAAGTGAACATAAACAATCTGAAAAATACTGTTTCTGGCTCCAGCACACACAATTTATAAAAGCAAACAGCCCCCTTATGGCTAATTCTCAACATTGCATCAGCTCCAAATAGCCCAGGGGATTTATCTAATGGGGAAAACTCTTCTGAAGAACACAGGACTTTTCATAGCGAGACAGGTCTGCTCTAAAGCTTTAGGATGAGGCAATTTATGTGAGTGCATTAGGAGGCAATGCACCCAGCCAGCTCTTCATCTGAACCCTTCTAGAGCCAGTCTGGCGAGCATGCAGTGATCTGTACACCTTCAACACCAGCTTAACTCCTCTTTCAGAACAGCAGCATGGGAAAAAGCTTTCCTAGGGAAAGCACAACAAATTATTATTTTTTAAAATACTCAGTTGTATAGAATTTTGTTGCACAAAATGAGGGGGAGAAATAAACAACCCTTTCCTGCCACATACTTCCTCAGGGAAGTGGGAATTTTGACTTACCTATGTTTTCACAGAAAAACGCTCTATCAATCTGAAAGGTGTTTCATTAAACAATTCCTGCTGCTGAAATTGATCCTGTTGCACTTGTTTGGCTAGTGCATCTGCACCCACCTCCTCTGCCCCACTTCCAACGTTCCCCCACTGCACCTCATGTGCTGCTTCCAGCACTTACCATAGTCACGATACCACACATTTACAGTTCATGCAGCCGGGGCCGCTCTCGTCTGGGGGATTCAGCTTGCGCAGCTTGTGCTGCCGGATCTCCCGCACCAAGGTGTAGAAGGCATCCTCCACGCCCTGGGGAAAAAGCAGGGCTTGAAGCAGCTGCCCGCTCTGAGGAGGGACAGTGGAGAGAGGAGAGGGCTCTGCTCCCCAGCAAGGTGTCCCTAACACTGTCCAGGAGTGAAGATTGCAGAGGTAAAGGTATAGAACCAAGCTGGGAAGACTAACAAGGACCTGAGTGTGGCCCTCAAACAGAGAGCAAAACTGAATGAGCAACCATCAGGATAAGGATCTCTGAAGTCCCTGAGATTTATCAGCTCTCAGCAGTCTGAATGAGGTCTACCACCCAAGAGAAAAGCCATCACTAGGCCACTGAAGGTGGCAGTTCCATTTCCACCTCTATGCTCTGGGAGCTCCACATGGTCCTTTCAGCACTGGTGTATTTTGCCAAAATAGACCACGGATGAGGTTAACCAAATGACCTGAGCTTAGCTGATTTGCAATGACTATGGAGGTTATTCCAGAGCCTTGGAGAAAGCCCTGAGAAGGCATCTTCTCTTCACTGCTGCCACAGCATGATGATGCACTTCTTGTGATGGGAGGCTCAAGCCTGGACTGGGAGGGAACATCCTGAGGAAGGGAGCATTTAGCCTTGAGGAAGCAACTAAGGCCAGCCCTCACACCCATCTGTCTGCAAGGTGATGCCTGCCCATTCCTGCCCCTCCAGGGCAGCAGTGGAGGAAAAAAGAGAAAAAGAGCCTTTTGTTCTAAAGTCTCCTCCTACCTGTCTGGTTTTGGCAGACGTTTCTATGTAGGGGATCCCGTAGCTCCGGGCCAGGTCCTGCGCTTGCCGGGTCTCCACTGTCCGCGCAGGGAGGTCACATTTATTCCCCACCAGCACCATGGGGACATCATCTGAGTCTTTCACCCTCTTGATCTGCTCCCTGCAAGAGGGGGAGGCGTGAAGAAGTGAAGGAGCAGATCCAGAACACTCCCTGCCAGTTTCTTTGTTAGGATTTGACAGCTACCCCTCGCTCCTGTTGAATGCCTTGTGTTGAGCTTTCAGGAAAATGTAAATAACTATGGCACACAAGTGAGTAAAATAGCAGAGCAGTTAGAGCACCTCTGGAAATGAAAACTAAACATACTTCTGCTCTTTAAATGCAGCTATTTACAAAACAACTTGAATTATGACAGTCTATATTAAGACATGAGCTTAAGATAGTTTAAGTTAAATAAAAATTAATTCTCAAGCAGTTACCTGTGCTATTTCCAACATTTTATATCAAATAATCCCCCCAAAATGGGGGGAAAAATAAAAAACCACCTGCAACCAGAATTTGCTGAGCTGATAAAGCAGCTTTTGGCAGCTGTAACCTTTTGTGCAGATGCACAGGCAGTATTTGCTCCCTTTCAGTTTAGTTCAGGTCACTCAAAGTTGAGAAACCAACTGGGAACTAAAAAAGCTGTAATGCTCACTTCTTCATTCCAACATTGGATCTAAAACTAGGTGGGCGAGGATGAGATCTATCACTCCTAAAAATCTTGAAGGCCATTATGACCACAAAAAATCCATTCAATTCCCTTCTGATAGATAATAACTTCCTTTGCTTAATAAATCATTTAACTTCAGATGCAAAACAGCTTTTTTATTTTTGCTCATGGGTCCAGAACATTTAATATGGTTTTAATTTAACAAATAAAAGATTTAAAATGCCAATTTCTGCATTTTAATTGAATGCAAATCTCCATCCAAAGGCAGCTGGACATTCATGCGCAGAAGAATCAATCATCTTTTTCTAATGTAGTAGAACATAGAAATGAAGTCTGACTATGTGCATGATATGCCATAAAGCCATTTAAATGTTCTGTGTAACATCCTGATCAGCAAATGCAAGTACTAAATTTAGTGCACAGGCTACACTTAGCTGAAAAGAGATACCTCCAAATGGTTACTAACCAGGGAGAGCGAGCATTTCTCTGGGGAATATTCTTTTAAAAGTAAAAACACAAAGAGCACAGGCTAAAGGAGATGAAAGCTAGTGATTTACATCATGATGGCTTGAAATCAAGCCATCCCGCAAGCAATTCACAGGCACCAGCCCCAGCACAAGGATGAATGCTGCTCAGTCCCTCAGGTGCTTTAGGAAAATCCCATCCTTTGTCCTTTGGTTCAGCTGAAAGAAGCCAAATTAGTTCACCTGTGCAGCTATAACACTGAACAGCCTTTTGGATGAGACTGAAACATCTCAGCAGCTCCAAGCAGCACCTCTAACTATGGAGCAATGAAGGGATGTGCCTGTCCTCGAAACAACAGGATTACTGGGACCCCGGTTTATGATGAGAGACAGGGATACACAGTCCCTTGTGGGCAGTGACAGAGCAGGGACAAGCAGAGCCATCTCCTGCATCCTCTGCAAGTGCCTGCCATCGCAGCCAAGGCTCAGAAAAAGGCGCAAGCAGAGTCCCTCCCTAAAGTAGCATCGGAGTAAACAGGGAAGATTCCTGCTGTGTTTACATCACCCCCTTGACTCTTCGGCTCTGCAGGGATGACATCAACAGAGAGGAGAACTGGGATTGTACTGGGACGGTGTGCCTGCTTCATCACCACTTCCCCATACATCTGCTTGGGCAAATCACCTCACTGGAGCCCTGACTCCCCTTCTGCTCCATCTTTGCCCTGCTTGAAACCAAGCTCCAGTGGGGCAGGAGTCTCTCCACACGTGTGAAGCTGGAAGATCACAGCCTGGTCATGCCAGTGGACAGCAGGGCAAGCAGCTCTCCCTGTCCTTTCCAGCCTCCCCTCCCAGCTCTGGGGCCAGCAGAAATCGCAGAGATCGATTGCGCTAACAAAGCAATTCCACTAATTAGGGAAGGAAGGGAGGGGGGGTCATACAGGATCAGCTCTCTCTTTAGTCACCATAAACACTTAAACATTACATTACCAGGTCCCCAAAGGCCACAAGCAATCCCTCTGGAAGGGTTTTATTGGAGTCACTGACATTAGCCGTCTGCGCTGTCTCTTCCCTGGGGAATGGCCACTTTAGCTAATTGTCTTTGCTGGCAGTCTGTGCTTCCACTATGGGGCCTGATCTAAAAGGGTGGGCAGGAGAGTGCAGCAGCAAGCCTCTCCTTCTCACAGGGCAAGAGGGAAAGGCCCTTCCCAGGATACTGACCTATACTGGTGAATATCTTCAAAGGACTTGGTGTTGTTGATGGCGAAGACACACAGGAATCCTTCCCCCGTTCTCATGTACTGGTCTCTCATGGCACTGTACTCCTCCTGCCCTGCAGTGTCCAAGATGTCTAACAAACAGGTCTCTCCATCGATGACTACTTGCTTTCTGTAGGAATCCTGCAGGCCAGGAGAGGGAAAGGAAGGAAGGAGGATGCATTAAGGGAGGGCTTGGATCTGGCTAAACAAAGGGATGCAATGAGTGCATCCCTAGGAAGATGCCAGGTCATGCTCTGCCCGTGTTCAGCTTCCATTAGAGACAACTCAGTCTCTTTCAAAAATGGGAGGGAAAGGAAAAATAATAAAAAAAAAAAACAAAAAACAACAACAACAAAGGAAAAAAAGGGAGCAGCTAAGCAGGTTTCTCCTTGTCTGTCAGAACCACAGAGAAGACAGCTCCCAGCATGCTCTCCCCATTCCCAGCCTTGCCGCTGGCAGACCAGGTGCAGCTTCATCTCTATTATACCACATAGCCCTCAACAAGTATTTCCTAAGATTGTTTAGTCTCAGCTCCAATTCCTTCTGCTGGATGAGGAAGGACACTCAGGAAAGGAGCTCTGGCCAGCCAGGGCTTCCAGTCACTATCTGTGATCTGCAGGCCTGGAAGGTGGTTAAGATAACCTGGAAATCCAGTGCCTCTAATGCATCTCAAATCAGGCACCAGAGGCAATACTGCCATCAGTAAGATTTCAGACTGGGTTTGATGGTAAACCTCTTCTTTAAACATGAGAAAAGAATAAAATAAAATCACACCATGAACAGGGTGTTTCCGACAACCTGTCTGTGCCCAGAGGGCTCCATGAGAGGTAAGAGGTAAGAACTATACAGGCAGGTCCTTTGAAGTTGGGGGTTTTCCCTGCAGCAAAGGCAATCACAACTTGTCATAGATGTGAGAAGGTCTGGAAATCACCCAGAGCACCCCTCAAAAGGTTTCATTTTCACAGCACAGCTCCTCAAAGCTCCTCCCCACTGTGCTTCTTCCTGAGCTCAGTCTCATCAGCAGCGATGCTGTGGGGCAGCCCTGCATGGAGGACATCCCTTATCCCTCTCCAGCAGCCATTCCCTGTGGACAGTGCAGCATCCTCAGCTGTCAGCAACAGAAGGAAGCCAAAATGAAAGGTATGAAAAAGGTAAAAGTCAGCAGTACAACCACACAGTGCTTTGCAGCCACTCGCAGAGGCCACGGCTGCAGTTTAAATTAATTCAGATGTCGGTTGCTCTTCCAACGACCACAACAATGTTATCAGATGAGCTTTGCAGGTCTGCAGACAAACAGCTGACACAGCAAAGGGCACCAACAGGACCAGCAGCAGCACAGAAAGGGAATGGGGCCAACACGGCCTCTATCCTTTGGTTCATTACAACAACGTCATTTGCTGGGGCTAATTAAAGTCTTTCCTCACCTTGCAGAGAGGGCTGTGAAATCAGAGATGAGATCTGCTCTGCCACGACCTTCTCAGCTGTGCCTTCCCAAAAAGTGGACTGCTGACCCATCCAGAATAAGCATGGAATGAAAGGCTGGCTTTCAGCCAACTGCTCTGAAGGCAACTGGCAGGTTGCCCTGCAGGAATGTGCTCCCATTTCTAATCAATAATGTATCTGGAGCCTCCTCTGTGCAAGGGGACCCGAGTGCCTTCTCTGCCCCACAAAGCATCCTCCCACCTCTGCACCTTGGCTTGGGACAGAGGACCAGCCTCTCAGCATGCTCGTTCACAGTGAATTGCCAAGTCCCTAGTTCCAGGATGCTTCACCAGCACCCAGGCATGCTGACACAGAAGAGATCCCACACCTCAGCTCAGGTCATCAATAGGATACCCATAAGGCCAGCCAGCTGGCTTACAAGGCAGAGACATAAAACAATCTTGCAGAGGATGCTTTGCAAAGGAAGGGGACAAGCTCTCCCCATCAATTCTTTGTGTACAGCTTCATTTGATCTCCCCCTCCCCAGGAAGCTCAGGATGGCAGCTCAGCTGTCCCTGCCACACGACCAGGTGACGTGGCTGCCACTAGCCCACAGCAGCACCCTGCAGCCTCAGCCCTCCTCTGCAGCCCTGCATGTCCCACCCCACCCTGAGCAGGGGGGAATGCAGCCAGACCCAGCTGTGAAGTGCCCGGCAGCAGAAACAACATCTGTTTGGGGTTCAGACTCAAGATCCCAGGCGGATGTCGGGAGCATCCCAGCTGTGCTGGAGGACCAGGCCAAGAGGCCCATTTGCTAAGCACTACAGTCAGGACATGACCAGAGGTTTGGGCAGCCCATTACTAGCTAGCTGCTAAGAGCTGGAAGATGAACCAAAGAATTGCTCAACAGAGTGAAACTCTTTATGCCATCCCTGCTTATTCACCATGGGACAATGCCGGTGGCATATCTTTCTTTGCTGCCTTGGCCCTCCTGTTCCCAAAACAAAGGTCCTAAGGCTCCTTGGCAGCCCAAGAGCTGGCCTGTGAGAGTGTGCTGTAGTGGGGTGGACAGCATTGAGTTACAGAGCCGAACATTTGCACTGGCAAATCAGGAGGGTAGGAGGGGAGCAAACACCCAGTCAGGGTCTCTACCCCAGACAGGGGACAAACCTGCACACCTCCTGCTCTGGGGAACATCTTCTCAGTGCACCCCAATCTGCTTGCACCCCCCTTTGCAGCACAGCCTGTGCTCAATCCATGTGGGCAGCGGGCAACACCTTTGCTCCATGCACGTATCATCTTTCCCCCGCCTTTTATCCTGCTCTTTTCAGCACTGCTGTGCTGCTTGTTAGCTGGCTGAACAGTCATAGTCAGCTCCTGGGCATGATCCAAAGCAGCTTAGTCACAGGAAGGTGGTTTGTTGGTCACATTTGGATGGCTGGCAGGTAGCTCTTGGTCTCTTAAATCCCCATAAAATGAAGCATAATTAAAAGGAATCACCCTGAAATGAATCAGTAGTTGGCCGGGGTAGCAGGGAAAGCAGGGTACAACCAAGGGAGCTGCAAAGGCATCAGGGCTGGTGGTACCCACAGGTGGAAAAGTACCAGGGGTGAGAGGGCTGAAGAGCAGCTTGTGGCAGCTTTTGGAAGAGGAGAAGAACAGAATGGGGCTGGAGTGAACAGTGGAGGAGAGATCAGGCGTCTCCCAGAGCACTGCAGAAGTGCGTAGGGTGAAGAGGGTGTGCTGGGAAATGCCATGCAGGGTTTACATTCCCTGCTGCCTGTTTACATGGAGAAAATTCCCTGCAGGGTACACACAGGGAGCAGGCAGCTGGAGACAAAAACCACAGGATGCCAAAACCCAACACATCACTGGGTAGGAGTTGCCTCTGCCCACCTAAGGTCCAAGAGAGGATGCATCCTTGCAGATGTCTCCCCAGGGAGGGTGCTCTCCATGAACATTCTTTTAGCAAAAACAACTGGAATGGGTTTCTGAGAAAAGTATGCAATACTACTGGGGACAGCCACATGAGGGGAGAGGAGCTGGGGACAAAGGCAATTGCATTCATAATCAAGGAGACTCAGGAGCCCTAAATTAAATTCCAGTCTCTGCTATGGACATTTTAGGTGACCTTGGCCAAATGATGTAATAGCACGTGCTTTTTAAGTGCTTTCTCTCCTTCCCATCTGTAGGACTGTAAGACTATTTCTGCCTTTCTACCAAGCCTTGTCTTGCCTTGTTTATGTAAGTTGTAAGCTCTTCAGGGTGGGGACTAAACATAAAACACCTACCAGAATAGATTTCTCATCCCAGCTGGGGCCTTTAGCCATTATGATAATAATAACTGCAGAAACCACAGCTGCATTTATACACATCTGGTAGAGAATCCTTTAGGACTGCAGACAGGGAGGATGTTGTCCAAGAGAGAGAGGGAGCTGCAATTTGCCTTCCCAGGGTGGACTTTACTCCTTGTGCAGCGCAGTGGCTACTGCCTACGTCTCACCCAACAAAAGTGTAAGTCATGCAGAGGCTAATTAGCACATCACTAACTATGGTGAAAGCAGATGGAGAATGGAATATATTTTTGAAAAATTAAAGAAAATAATAATATCACAATGGATATTGAACACTGAATCCCCCTCTGCCCCCATACAGCCTGTGAGGACCATAGGATCCCTGCCTGTATCTTCAGGCAGGGTGCTGAGCTAAACAGGTCAGTCCTGCCATCCACACCGACTGAGACACACACATCAGCCTTTAACTCCTTCTGAAGAAGCAGAGGCAGCAGTCTGGGAGCCACAGCAGTTCAGCTGCTCAGCACGTCTTGCTCAAACTGCAAGACATACATAATACAACCAAGCTCTGATAAAACCCATTTCTTCAATAAAGCTCAAAACATCCTGCAGAAAAAGTCAATACATTTACTCTGATTTCACGGGAGGAGAAATGGAAGCACAGGCACAAAATGGCTCTTCAATTCTAAACCTTTAATCCCTCCCTACATTGTCATCTCATCAGAAAGGAAGACTTTTGTGCTGCCTCACAGCCCCTGCCCTGCTCTGCCTGTCTCTGCTGCCTCCTATGTCACCTCTCTTCAGCAGACACCACTACCCTTCTGCAGGAGATGTTAAGTCAGTCTCTGCGACCTCTGAACACACACATAGTGACTCAGAATAGCTCTGCAAAGCAGAGGAACATCCCTGCTCAAGTTCAGACTTGAGACCAAACTGAGCATGCTCTGGGTTGGAGACAAGGTGGAGAAAAGCAAGTGGAAAACATGCAGACAGACAGACCCCATGCCTGGAGCCACTTACCTCTATCGTGGGGTCATACTCATCAACAAAATGGTTCTGAATGAGCTGTATTGTCAAAGCACTCTTCCCAACACCACCTGCTCCCACCACCACCAGCTTGTATTCGGTCATCTTCCAGCTGACCCCAGCTCAGCACTTCCAGGAGCACCACCACCTGCAAGGACAAACATGGTCACTGTGCTAAGAGAGGTTACTTTAAAATGGGCAAAATAATACATCAAACCAAATGCAAAAACTCTGTTCATCCTGTGGTCTTGCAATCCTTCAGCCTGACCATCTGGATGCAAACTTCACAGGTTCCTTGAGTAAACTTCAAGAGGTAGGAGAGCATTACTGATGAGAAAACAAGAGGTACAGGCTGTATACATCAACCCCTAAAGTAACCAGTTTAAGAAGTCTGGTTTTACCTTATCTCAAACTGATGACCCGAAATCTTTAGATAGATTTGAAACCCTTGGCCAACGAGGTTGGAATGTCAATTCCCACAAGAGAGGGGGAAAAGGTCCAGCCCTGCCCAAACATGCTGTTACTTCCATGTCTTCACCCTCATGGCTGTGTCAAACCTCACAGTAGGGTTGAGATGGTGGCACATCCACACCCTCTGCCTGTCCTCCAGCTAACAGTCATACTATTGTGACAGGAAGGACTGCAGAAGGGGCATCCCTGCTCCCTGAGCTCAATCTGGCACATCCAACAAGGGGGAAAGAGATGCTGTCACAAAAGGTGCTGAGTGACAACGATGGTTAGGGTGAGGATGAGCAAACCACACTTCTGCAGTGCTGTGTGCCTCCCATGGCCCTTCAGCAGCAGAAGATTCACATCCCCCCAGCTCCTCCCTTAAATTTCTGCTCCAAGTCTGCTGAGAAAGAGGAACTAACTCAGGAAGATTACAAAACCCCAAAGGTTTAAATAGAAATCCACCCTCATTGGACTGCAGCCCCTGCCCACTGAAAGTCACTCCAGGGTCAGACACTCGTTCTCAGCCACCATCTGCAAGCTCAGGGGAAGCCACCCAAAATGCAGCAGGTAGCAGGAAGACAAGCTCACAGTTCCCCTTGTCAGACACCCTTCAGTGTTCACAGGGATTAGAACCCTCTCCTCCATCCTCCCACCTCAGATAGTTAAATCACTCCGCCCTCCTCCCCAGGCTTGTCAGCCCTGCTCCTAAACTCTGGAAGCTGCTACAAACTGTGCCAGCAAAGACTGCTCTAGACCCAGACCACAGCTGATGCATTTGCTAACACAGCAAAGATCTAATGGCAAAGAAGCCAGAACTTTTTGCCTTCAATCCCCACCTGACTGTAACCCTAAACCACCCAGACAGTTCCATCTTCCCTCTGGAGCAGGGAGCAGACACAACCACCTCTTGCAAAAGCCCTTTCTTGAGCTGCTGTCTTGATAGCAGAAAGGGAAACAAAGCTCAAGCCCTTCTCAGCATCCAGAATCCTAAAGAAGGGCAAATGAGGGGGTACAGAAGAGCAGCCAGGTGACAAATATGATGCCAAGCAGGACCTCTGGTTTGCTGTGCTGGAGGAGCAGGTAAACAACATGGAAAAGTGGTGATGGTGGGGGGAAATGAAGTGCAAATAATGTCATACCCTAGGTGCCTTCCTGACAGTGACACTGCTTCCTCTGAAAGTCCAATGTGCCTCTGTTCTGGCAGCCAGGGAAGAGTTGGAGATCGAAAGCAAGGCTACAGGAGAGAATCTATGTGATCTCACTAATTGACTGTGCGCACGCATTGCTCTGCTCCGTTAGTGCGTGCCCTCCTGTACATGGTGTTCTCACATGCACTGCTTCTCAGGGACAAGAGAGATCCCCACCCCAGGCTTCTCATCTCTCTGGGAAGAAACAGGGTGAAAAGGGGACTGAGGAGCAAATGTGGACTGACCATCTCCACCAGCACAGCTGTTGGGGAAGGAATCACTCCTTCAGCAAACAGCTTCACAGCTGAACACAGAAGGGTCCTGGGGGTCTGAAGAAACACTGCTCCCACCTTTCATTACAGAGCAAGGAGATCTCCATCCCCCAGCAAAGCACATGGACTTTGCTCTGCATCTGAAGATGAAGCAGGTGCCATGAAGATGCTCAAGGAAAACGGCACAACTGCAGGACTTGCTGAGACAGTGAGAAAAGCTTTGACTCCCCAGGGGAGGAGAAGACATAAGTTCTCTAGGAGGGGGTTCTCCCTCAAGACCACCCCAGTGGAAGGCACTGCCTACTCCTCTGGAAGGCTCCCACAGCCATAGCAGCTTTATGGTCCACACTGCAGCAGGAGGTGGGGGACAAGGTGGTCACCCACATTAGCTTGAGTGTCTTCCCCTGGTCCCGACCCCAGCTGAGGTCCATTGCACGGCAGAGGGGCAGCCACACACCAGCAAGTCCTGCACATCACCACCTTAGCACAGAGTTTTAAGGTCTGGCTTCTCCACAGAAACACAAACCCACATCTTCTTGTCCCACACACACCCAAGAGGCAGGGAAAATGAAGGGGGCGAAGAAGCCATTGCTACTCCCCATTTGTGGCCCACACATGGACAGTTTAATGCAAGAGCTCTGCAATGCTGGTGTTTGCTCTCTGACGCCATCCCTCAAAGGTGCTGTCACCTCAGCTAACTCTCCACTGCTCTGCAATCCTCGCCCCTGCAGTGGCAGGAGAGATTCTGCGGCTCGCAAAGGAGGGCAGGTCCAGCCTAGCTGCTCCACACCATTGCTGCAAAACATGTCCTAATGCAGAGTGAGAGCATGGGGAATGATGGACAGCTCTGGGCATGAGAGCTGCCCCAGTTAATGTGGGCTAAAATCAATGCTCAGGGGAGCTCGCTTCCTTTCCCCACTGCAAGCTCCTCCAGGGCAGCATGCAGACCCAACAGCACACCAGGACATGGGCAATTTCCATGGAAAGAAGCAGCCTAGCCAAAGGCTGCAGGGAAAGCAGAGATTTCAATATGGCCAATCTCTGCCACAGAGCTGGGCAGCTGGTCCTATCCTTAAGCTTACCAAAACCATCTCATAACTCCCCCATCACACTTTTTACTCCTGAACATGGGAAGAGCAAGGCTGCTCTTCGATGCACCCATAGTGCCAACACAGGAGTGGCTGTTCCTCAGTGTCACAAAAACATTATCACCACCACCACTATAAGGGCTGGTTCAAGGAAAACCATCCCAAAAGCAACGTTTCTGGCTTCCTATAACACAGATGCAGGGAAGAGAGAGTGGGGTTCCTGTCAGAGAGACGGTAACAGACACTCCAGTTTTCATGCTGGTGACACACCGGATGGAGGTTCACAGCCTGTTGGTGGTTGTGAAAGCTTCTCCTGATGCGAGGATTTCCAGTTTCTATTGCTCAGCAGCCAACACAGAGCCCACACACAGCTGACCACAAAATAACAGAGTGAAACACAAAAGCACAGCCTCCCAGTCCCACACAGAGCAGGAACAATGCTTCTTCCATCTTCTGCAAGCTCTTCAAGATCTGAAAGTCTGATCCAGGTCACCATCTAGTGTTTCCCTATCCAAATGTATCACCTCTGCAGCACTCCACTACTACACCCCCCAAAGCCACACACAGGGCTTTCAAGCAACAGTTGAGAGACAGCAAGGAGGAGAGCAGTTCCAGGAGCACCGTCTGGAAAGAGGAGGGCTGGGATCCGCGTGCCAAGCCAAGAGCCCCAGCGTGGAGCTGGAGCTGCTGCTGCTGTATTTCCTGACCTCGTGGATTTGCTCCTGTAGCGAGAGGGCTCCTGGCTCCCGTTCAAAGCTGTCTAGGAAAGCCTCGCCGAGTGCTTCCGCCTGGCAACAGCAGCTGCTCCCAGTCCAGTAGCCAGAGCCACACAGCTCCAGCAAACAGGAGCCATCTGCCAGCCTCGAGCAGGAAGAGCAAGCACGCAGCCCCAGTGGACACCAACATCCTACCTTTGTCTCACAGGGAGGGGATGGAGGCGTGGGTGAGGGCAGAGGGCACAGCACCTCCCCTGCCTGCACATGCTGGGTGGCAGCATGGAGGCCCTGCCTGCAGAAACGAGGACCAGGATGCTTGGCAGAAGCTGTCACAGGGCTAAGACATAAAGCAGGTCTGAGCATCAAGGCTACAGCTGCTACCCAGAGATCCAGCTGTGTCCTGCAACAAACAACCTGACATTCTTCATGAGGCAAGGAACTCAAGGGGCTCAGCCCCATCAGTACATCCCATCTCACCATTAGAGTTCCCACAAGAGCTCAGGCATCAAGCAGCAGGGATACACAGTGGGTTTCAACACATTTACCACAAGGGAGGCTCTGACACCCTTCCAAACAGAATAACTAACTGAAAGAGCTTTGTCTGTGTCTCTGTTTCTTCCCATCGCTTTGTTTCCCTCCCAGGACAGACACCAAGCCAACTGAACAAGTCAAGAGACAGATTTTTGCACAACGCTGCTGTAGTAAGGCCAGCCGTGCCACAAGTTTTACAACTGTTCATTATTGAGCATTCAACATCACTGCACCTGCCCACTGGGAGTTTCTGCATTTAAAGGCATCAGAAGTCAATTTCAACTCTGGAAATCTCTTCGGGCTCATGTTAGACCAGGCACCCTTTCTTCCAAAGCCCTGTCCAGAGGAGCCATATGACCACAAATGCCACTGTGTTTGCTTCTATTTCCCTTCAGCACAGACGCCCTGCAGGCACAAATGGTCTGCAGTCCTCTAGGAGAAAAACACTCATGCCAGTCTTCTACCAGCAGTCATCCACACCCACACATCAGCAATCCTACTCACTGATCTCTGAGCATTGATAAACAAACTTTGTTGGCTTACCCCAGTGACTGTCCAGTCTCCTGCATTTGCTCATGCACAAGACTGTCACCAACATCACAAAGCACAGCCTGTGGAGGGACTGAAGGAGCCTCTCCAGTGGTGTGAAATGCCACCTTTTGTTTCCGCTCAAGGACCAAAATGCTGATGTTCTCTGTGGCCTGTCCAGCCCAAAGAGATTAGGGAACCGAGGCTGGCAAGCTGATGCTCTGTTATGAAGCCTATCCAATGCTTCATTTTAATTTACTTCTTGCTTTTTAAATCAACAAGTGAGCTACAAATCTAACCAATTGTGCCTGTTGTTGGCTCGCTTGTATACTTGCAAACTCAGACAGTGCACCTCACAGATGAAAACAGAGAA